TGAATTTCTGAAGAAGGGTCCTGACCCGAAATGTCAGCTTTCCTGCTCCTCTGATGCTGCCGGGCCTGCTGTGTTCCTCCAGTTCCACATTGTGTTATCTCTGACTCCAGCATCGGCAGTTCTTACTATCTCCAAGGAGAGGTTAAAGATGTCTACAAATATTCCTGCCAGCAGTATGCATAGATCTAAGCGCACAGCAGGGACTCCATCCAGGCCAGTTGCTTTTTATGGTGAACTAACAGCTTTCTATACTGTTCATGCTGTACTGATTTTGTGGGGATGATTCCAGATGTAAAATTGTTGAAATGTTAGCACAGTGTATTGTTTTTGCTAGCACAGTGGCCACACATGAATTTGCCTCTAAATTTAGAATTCTCTTTAATAATATGTCTTCCCTACCTTTTAGAAACAAGTTGTTTTCTTGCCTGAATCATTCTAAATGACTAAATACAGCTCCATTTCATCATGGGTGAAGTTCGTGTTGTACCCAGTGGAAAAGTCTACAGGCAAATCTTCGATGCTGAGGTAAAGACATAAAGACTTCTACAATGAGCAGCCACATTGGCATCAGATATCCAAAATCGTTCTGCGTTGGCATTATACTGTTTATCACAGAATCACAGAAGAGTTAGAGTGCAGAAGGAAGCCATTCAGCCCATCTTGTCCACATCAGCTCTTTAAAGGAGCATCATGATCATAGTTAGATTTCTTGCTTTTTCCACATAGCCTTGCACAATAATAATCTAAAATTGGTTGTTATGCATTTTAGTATAGTTATTTTTGGTCATTTTTGTTATTATCTGCTTCAGGATATTTCATTACAATAAGGGTCCTATCTAAATATAAGTTGTTGTTGTTGATTGAATATAGAACTTGTTATTCGAGAAGTGGTTGAGTTGAATAGCATTTAAGGAAAGCAAGCAGACAGAGGAGGGAGAAAGAAATAGAAAGGTATGCTGATTGGAATGAGATGAAGAAGGGTGGAAAGAGGCTTATGTGAAGCTAGGATGTGCTCGTTGGGCTGAATGGCCTGTCCCTGTGCTGTAATGACTATGGACGGTATTTATTGGAGATAAACATCTTGCCCAGTGGAGGGCAGCACAGCTGGAGCCCCCACTGACACCTCCTTTGGGGAAGGCCGAACGAAATCAAATGCCAACAGACCTTCCCCTCGAGCAAGGACCCAGAGCAAATTACCCCAAGATTTGGTGTCCAATCAGAGGAGCTGAGCATTGCTCATCAGCATCACTGGGGAGTGGTGCTAGGTTCTAGAAATGCACTCATCTGAGGCCCAGGATCACCGAGGGACTTAGACAGAGGTGCCTTAATGTGGGATTGGGTGTAATTGGGTGGCAGTCACAAGGGTTGAGGCAGGGAGTCTAACAGCAGGGACAATGTACCCCACTTTTCCAATTCCAGGCTTGTTCATGCCTTTGAATGAGACCTCCCCCCTTCGCCTGTAAGCCTGCTAATCTTTTCAGAGTTCCGGCATGGTGAGTCCCCCAAAGGCCATTGGGAGAATATGGCCAATTGAGATATCCAGGCTTGAGTTGACAAGTGGCAAGTAACATCCATACCATGCAAATGTTAGGCAATGACATTCTCTAATAAGAGACAAAAAAACTAAAGAACTGTGGATGCTGGAAATCAGAAACAAAAGCAGAAATTGCTGAAAAAACACACCAGGTCCAGCAGCATCAGTGGAGACAAAATAGAGTTAACGTTTTGGGTCCTGTGACCCTGCTTCAGAACTCAATAAGAGTCAATCTAACCATGGCCCCTTAGTATTCAATGGCCTTACAATCACTGAATTCCACACTGTCAGCATCTTTGGGGTTACCATTAACCAGAAGCTCAACTGGACTTGCAACATAAAGCTGCAAGAGCAGGTCAGAGGCTAGGAATACTGCAGCAAGTAACTCACATGCTGACTTCCCAAAGTCTGGCCATCATCTACAAGGCACAAGTCAGGTGTGTGATGGAATTCTCCCACTTGCCTAGTTGGATGCCATTCTAATAACACTCAAGAAGCTTGACACCATCAAAGATAAAGTAGCCTGCTTGATCGGCACCGCATCCAGAAACATCCACTCCCTCCACAAAATGCTTGGTAGCAGCAGTGTGTACAATCTACAAGATATACAGCAGAAATTGACCAAAGATCCTTAGTCAGAACCTTCCAAATCCACAACCACTTATCGATTCATCCAGCACAGAAACAGACCTTTCGGTCCAACTAGTCCATGCCAAATATAATCCCATACTAAACTAGTCCCACCTGCCTGTTGCTGCCCCATATCCCTCCAAACCTTTCCTATTCATGTACCTATCCAAATGTCTTTTAAACGTTGTAATTGTTCTCGCACCCACCACTTCCTCAGGAAGTTCATTCCACATGCGAACCACCCTCTGTGTAAAAAATTTGCCTCTCATCTCTTTTTTAAATCTCTCTCATCTCATTTTAAAAATGTGCTCCCTAGTCTTGAAATCCCCCATCCTAGGGAATAGACAACTACTATTAACTCTATCTATATCTTTCATTATTTTACAAATGTCTATCAGGTTGCTTCTAAACCTCCTATGCTCCAGTGAAAAAAGTCCCAGCCTTTCTTTATAATTCAGACCTTTCATACCCGGCAACATTTTGGCAAATCTCTTCTGAACCCTCTCTAGCTTAATAAGATCATTCCTATAACTGGACGACCAAAACTGGTCACAGTATTCCGGAAGAGGCCTCACCAATGTCCTGTACAACTTCAACATGACTTCCCAACTCCTATACTCAGAGGACTGAGCAATGAGAGCAAGCCTGCCAAATGCCTTTATAACCACCCTGTCTATATGTGATGCAAACTTCAAAGAATTATGTACCTGCACCCTTAGGTCCTTCTGTTCTACAACACTATCCGAAGCCCTACCATTAATTGTATAAGCTCTACCCTTTTTATACCAAAATGCAATACCTTGCATTTATCCAAATTGAACTCCATATTCTATCTTGAAGGACAAGGGCAGCAGATACATGGAAACGCCACCACATGCAAGTTCACCTCCAAGCACTCACAACCGGACTTGAAAATATATCGCCGTTCCTTCACTGTCGCTGGTTCAAAATCCTCTCCTAAGGGCATTGTGGATCTACCTGCAGTAGATGGACTGCAGCGGTTCAAGAAGGCAGTTCACCAGCACCTTCTCAAGGGCAACTAGGATAATAAATGCTGGCTAGCCAGCAATGCCCATATCCCATGAGTGAATAAGTTTTTAAAAATCCTTAAATGAACATTAATTGTCCACTTCAGGACTTGAATTGATGTCAGGGTAGAAAGGCTGTCCAAGGATATCCCTACGCCTGACGAAACCAAGGCATAGACAAGCAAGTGGCGGGATCTCCCTGTTAAATACACCCTTGCCAACAAACTCACTTTGAGGAAGGGCATTAAATTCCCCCCTCTGTGTTATTATGTCGTGTCTCCAATTTAATGTTAAGTTAGGAATTTCACTCAGAGAATATTGAGTAATTGGTGCGTGAAATAGAAAGCCAGTAAAGTTGGCGTCCTGAAGTAGAACATATTGCAGTACAATATCTCCCTTCTTGATCCTAGCAAATCTTATCATCATTAGCCTGAATAACATGAAGAGAATTACTATTTTTGATATTGTATCAATTCCCACCTTCCTAAAGGTGCATTTCAGTTTATAAAGGCTCTTACTTCTGTAAAGGTTCAACTTGTCCGTACACTGGGGGAAGCAAGAAGAAAGTCCCAGCACCATGCAGTTCCCCTTGACAGTGGGAGAATTCCCATTGTTCGACATTTGGACACATCAACAGGACACGTTCTCTCATCTCGGCGACGTACATGGATGGAAGGACTGTTAAATGATGGTATAACTGAAAATCCAGTGCTACACAGGTAACATATAGAGTCAATCTCAGTGTACTATTTTGACTGATAGATTAATTTTGATGGACACAACTGCATTTATTGATACCACCAGCAACAGGCAATGTTGAATGAAGACAAAGCAGCAATATACACAGTGGCTTCAGATGGCCTTTCAATATTACTTGGGAAACAGGAACTTAGGATTTAGAATTAAGAGTAGGCCTTTGGTCATTCAAGCCTGTTGCCCCATTCAGTAAGACCATAGGTAATCTTATATGTTTCAATATGATCCCCTTTCATTCTCCTAAATTCCAGTGGATATGTGCCTAACCTGTTCAACTTTTCTTCATAAAATAAGCCCTTCATCCTAGGATTGATTTGAGTGAATTACCTCTGAAGTGTTTCTAAAGCTGTATTATCCTTTTTTAAAATAAGGAAATCAAAACTGCACACAGTACTTAAGATGTGATCTCACTATACCCCATACAACTGCAGTAAAACTTCCCTGTTTTTGTATTCTATTCCATTTGTAATAAATGACACTGTTCCATTTGCCTTCTTAATCACCTGCTGTGCCTGCATGCTAATTTGATGTAATTCATGAACCCGGACAGCCAGATCCCTTTGTACCACTGAGTTCTGATTTCTCCCACCATTTAAATAGTGTATAGTGTTTCTTTTCTTCCTACCAAAATTGACATGTTCATTTATACCTGCTATATACACCATCTGCCAAATCTTTGCCCACTTACTTAACATGTTTGTATCCCTGCGACTCTCTACCTCCTCTTGTTATGTCCCTTTCCAACCTATATTGGTGTCATCAGCAAAATTAGTTACAGTACATTTGGACCCTCATTCAAATCACTGATATAGATTGTAAATAGTTGAAAACCCCAGCAATGATACCTTGGCACTATACTAGTTAGAACTTTCCAATCCAAGAAAGACTCATTTATTCTTACCGATAATAGATAACTGTTGATTCCATGAGAGCCACTGTCTTTTAATCTCATGAAATTTGAATGTTAGCTTTATATACCTTCCACTTTCATGGTTTTTCAATTTTTGTTCCTCCCTATCCCCACTTCTCCTGGAACCACAAACTCAGGCAAAGATATGATTTTATAGGCAGCAATATTCCAATTCTTGGCTCAAGCCTGTGAGCTTTGATGGTAAATAGCAGCAGGCTATGGAGTAGTAGAGCACTTACTACTGAACATGGTAAGGTCCACACCTCCAACAATGTCAATCACCTCCAACAAGGATGAGAAACAAGGAATAAAAATGGGAAATGCTGGAAATACTCCAGCAGCTCAGGCACCATCTGTGGAGTGAGGAAGTTAATGTTTCTGGGTAGAAGTAAGGGTCATGACAGCATCCAGTCTCAATAATCTGGGTTCCCAGCCTTTTTGTCACTCTTTTGTTCTCACAAAATGTTGAACACCAAGTTAAATGCACAGTTTTGGGAAGGGGATTGCTTGCAAACTATGCAGACAGAGGAGGAAAAACTGTTTCAATGCTTCTGGAGAGTTCACAGTGCTAAAACTAATTATTTTATAATTTGATGGATTTGTAAAACAGATTAATATTTGCTCATTTTTATTATCATTATCAATTGTCACTTATTTTGCTTTGGGAAAGACTATTCATGCATTCTGATATTGCAGAAATGCAGTCCTTTCAGCCATTAAGCCTAAAGAGGTTGTCGAACAGAACAATGCGGTGAGAGAGGTGAAAGGGCTTCCTGATGTAGTTGGTAAGTATGCTTTGGTCTTATGCAATCTGAACCTAGTCATTTAAATGGGCATTTCCCCAATTTCTCTCCCCCTCAGTTCCTGAAGGGATTTCAAAGAGGAAAGCTCTTCCACTATGCTGGTATCTCACCTAAATGTCATTCGTAATATTTGAGTCCAGACAATTGATCTATAGGCCATTTTTCTGAGTGAACATAGAGGGTGAGCCTGGTTCTATTCTCACTCAATATCCACAGACTGACTTATAAATAAGGACCAACAGGAGTAGGAATACTCAGAGATAGCAAGAACTGCAGATGCTGGAGTCAGAGATAACACAGTATGGAGCTGGAGGAACACAGCAGGCCAGGCAGCATCAGAGGAGCAGGAAAGTTGACGTTTCAGGTCAGGACCCTTCTTCAGAAATGGGGAGGGGGAAGTTTGTAGGAAGTGGGAGGAGTTAAAGGAGAAGTTGTTCAGGATAAGGACAAGTTCTGTTAAGCGGATGAGGGTGTCAGTGGAGGGGGACTGGCTGGGACAACTGATTCATTTCCTTCTTCCTTAACTTAGAGATACTGAACCAGAATGTTACAAGTCAGTAATTGTACAGATGAACACTGAATGTAGGACTTTCAGTCTACTGTTACACCAAACTTGATCTTATCATCATTTAACATTTACACAGCAGGCTTCTCTTGATAGGGAGGAAATTCACAATTCATAGCTTGTTTTTTTTCTTCTTTTCATAACATGCTAGAGGTGCTGTGGTGATAGTGTCCCACCTTGCCATCGATTTTCACTTTTTGAGGTAGAAATTGGCACCTCCTATCCAATAGAAATGAGATGATGGTGAGCTGAATTTGACAGGTTATATTGTGCTGCCCTGTTGCTGCTAATGATGGGCTGAATGGCTTCCTTCTGCACCATAACACTTCTATGATTCTGTGATACTACCAGCACTATCTTCACAAGGACATAGTGCAGTAAGTGCTTTTAATTTAAAAGAATGCACTATTTTCCAGCCCATGGCTGTTTTAGTACTATTTAGGAGTTTTCTTGACCTGACTCCAATTCCTATAAGGAATCAAATTACTGTCCTATTAATGTCCTAATTAGCTGCCTGTTATGTGAGGTGGTTGTTTCAGTAAAAGCTGGCAGGCACCTAGTGAAGGTCCTGCAAGCTGAGTGCAAGACTTATCCTTGAGTGCTCATCCTAGCCTGACAAACGAGTTTGGGCCAACTCTGCCATATGTTCCCCTTCTCTACCACCCAGAAACTTCATGATTGTGATTCCCAGGCTCCTCGATCTTCATAGGTCCAAAGCAAAAGAGTTGCCCCTGCCCATCCTTTTCAGATGAGCAGCTATCTGGCAGACTGTAAATACTGATGAGACCTTCCTCTTCAGCTCCTGGGCAGGCAGCCTGTTGGCTTCTCACCTGAAATTTAAAATCCCCCACCTGAAGAACTGAATTTGAATTTGTTAGGAAATAAAGAAGTAATTGAAATAATATAATCCAACCTTAAGGTTTGCAATGCTGTTCAAAAATGCAGATCTCTCACTGAGCTGATATACTTGACGCAAAATGACTAAGCATGGGGATAGATGCATGGAGCTCAACAGCAATTACAAAATGTCATTGTGCAGTAAAATTAGAAGAAATTTTGTGAAGATAATATTAGTATTTTTAACAACATAGAAAGGTCTTTACATTCTCATTACTTATTGATAAATTAACCAAGCTTTTCACCATATCCCTCAATTCCCACTTCCTGGAATTTTATCCAACTGTTTCTTGAACCCATTAATCTTGTTTATTTCAATGGTAAATTGATTCAAAATTCTATTATAAGTTCCACCTGATTTTCTCCTTTTATTTCTGACTTATAACTACATTTCGACGCGACTGAGATATTTGTCATGAGTCATCTTGAAATCACCCCTTTTCTATAAAAGAACAAACCACAAATTTCACACAAGATATTATGATTGAAATGTGTTGTCTTACGTGGTCTTTTATCTTTTAAATGACAGTTCCTGCAAAGATAGGTTCCAACATTATTCACCATCTGCTTGCTAACAAGCAGGAAAACCATGGGGCAACAGTGAAGAAGTTAGAAGAAGAACTGGCTGCTATCAGCAGGGTATGATAACATTTCCTTTATCCCTTCCATTAGGAAAGCAGATTTAATGCTGTCTGTGATAGGAATCTGACATGTAGCGTATTGTTGAGATGAATCTGTTGACAAGATGAATGCTCCTTTTAATTTCCATTCATATACTCTTATGATCCCACACAAGGAAAGAGATGCCATTATGAGTGACATTTTAGTTATGTCTATGTAGATAAGAATGGAATAAAAGCAAAATACTGCAGATGCTGGAAATCTGAAATAAAAACAGAAAATGCCGGAGAAATCAGCAGGCTTGGCAGCATCTGTAGACAGAGAAACAGAGTTAACATTTCAAGTTTAGCTCTTCAGGCTGATGAAGAATCATGTCGAACTCAAAATGTTAACCTTGTTTTTCTCTCCAGAGATGCTGCCAAACCTGTGGCACTTTCTATTTTTCAATTTTTGGATTATCTATTTTTGGATAAGAATGGAACCTGGAGACTGCAGACCCTCACAGATGGATGAAGTTGAGAGAGTATAGTGTCATCAACCAAGTCAAAGACTGGAGAGAGGACAAGGAGGGATATGTTGGCTTCATTATAGTCATCATTCAGTGATTTTGTGATGTGGAATGTCATCTGAAACGTTGTTAAAACTCTTTTGTGCGATGACAGGCAGAAAATTGATTGGAGGTGAAATAACTCCACGAAGGCTGGTATCCCATAACCAAGTCACCCTTTATTTATACATGCATAGTACATGACACTGACCTCGCTAGTTCAGAGCTGGCTCCTACAATGAGCAGAATCCCCAAGACTCCTGTTTATATCTGTCAGCCAGGGCTCCCTGATTGGAGCAGGTTAACAAACCCAATCAGGGAACTCATAATCTACAAGATCCACCTGGCTGACCTCATTCCAATCACTACAGGAGGGATTTAAGCAACATGTTCATGGAAAAGTTTGGGAGGTGGCAATGAAAGGAAAGGAAGATTGGAGACAGGTTTGCAAGAATGGCAGGGTCAAGAGTATTTACAGCTGAGAGACTCTAATGTTTGTTCTCTCAGTGCATCATATACATAGGAATCAGGCAGGAAAAGAGTTAAGGTAAAAAATTATTTCTGATTTTATTGAATGGCAGAGCAGGTTCAAAGGATCATAGGGCCCACTCCTGCTCCTGTTCCTTATGTTCTTAGGGTGGCTTGTTATAAGAGGAGTAGTGTAATGGAGAGGAGGTCAGATCTCGAACAGGGGAAATAGTTTACATTTGCAGCTAAGATGGGAACTGTGTGGTTATCAGTTTTATTGGGAAATGGTTGGATTATGAGGAGGGTCCCTTGGACAAAATGTGCTTGGAGAAGGTATGAAGTAGATAGGAGAAAAAGTATAGAAATATGTAAGTTTTTGGATATGGCTGGGAGGAACTTTAGAGGCATTTTGGTCCAATTAGCTAGGGGAAGAAGGGAAGTGACAGATGTACCTGATCGGATTGATTCATATTAGCAGTGACAAAAATAGATCACGATCTCCTCACATTTCTTGTTGGAGGTGAGGGTGGAGGAGACAGGAGAAGGGTTTTTGAAGACAGTCTGCAGAAGAGAAAAATTGCCAGGGATCATCTTTGCCTTCCAGGATGATCTTGGAATAGCAGTTTTGGGAGACAAAAGCATTATCCATTTGCAGTTCACGTGGTCATGCCAAATTTGGTGGTGGATGGCTAAATCAGTTGTTCAAGATATCTGTTCCGGTCTGCATTCTTTGGACTTAAGGTGAGACAAGGTGAAGGGTTGAAATGGGGGAATGGCCAAGGTGAGAGAAAGTAATGATTTTAAAATGGTCTATTGCACTGAAGTGTCAGTGTATGGTTGAGTTGGTTAGCAATGGCAAAACTGACTTGATGAATGGAGAAGCATTGTTGGGATTTGGAGAGTGCAGGGATAAGTGATTAGGGAAAGAACTTAGAAAATAACTTTTTTTTCACACCTGTGTGACTAACTGAGTGTTTCCACAACAAATTAGAAGAATCATTTAAAAACAAATGTCTATTCCAATCAGTGAATCATTTGTGACAACCAGGTCAGACTTAGACTGACAACAGATTGACTCATTTACCAAGTACTGCAGCTGAAGATTATTACTCTTCTGTTGTAGCTTCCCATGTATTGTCACAACATCTCACCTTTGATCCCGATGCAGCTTTTTTCTTATATATATTTCAAGGTGAGAAGTAATCTCTATGTTTGACTGTCCCAGGAGTTGGAGAAGCGATTTACCGAAGCTGCAGAACACCTACTGCAGGAAGTGGAGAAGTCTTATCAAACCGTTCAGGAACTGTGGTCAAAGACAGAAAATATCACTGATAGTTCTGCAATAATATTTGAGGTACAATTCTAAGCTTTCTTCATTTCTAATGCCAGTTTACTGTCAACAGGAGGAATCATGCAGCAGTTTGAAAGTTATGTAAAGTGTTCTATCTTCAAATGCAGAATTCATGATTCCTTGCCAAACTAAGGATTGGTCAAACCCGCAATAAGCTGTGGGAGAAATGTCTTTTCTTAATGAATGACAGAGAGACATTGATTGTCCCAGTGTCAGGAAACACAAAAAGTCTAACAAATGCATGCCCTATTTAGAGGGCACAACTTAATAGAAAACTAAATTAACAAGAAATAAGGATAGTTATCAAGTTAAGTGATAACATTGCTATCTGTACTCAATATGCCCTCTGGTCCTAGTCATAGAATATCTTAAGTATCCATGAGCAAACAGAGTTTCTGGTGGGTATGTGACTTGCCTATTGGTTTCCTAGTTATATTCTCCAATATGTTATTTCAGACCTGTATTCCAAACACTGTTTCAGCTACTGATTCTATTCCTCCCTGTGGCAATTGTCTGAGATCTAACCAGTCTGTTTGCAACTCTGGTGTCACATTTGACCCATGAGATGAACTTTGTACCTTGTATTATGCTATTAACTACTGCCTTTTTCCACATCTGTAACATCACCCGACAATCCACTGCAGTTCATCTTCTGCTGAAACCATCATTCAAACCTTTGTTACCTCTAAACCTGACTATTCTAACACACTCCTGCCTGATCTCCAAAGGTTTACAAGTTATCAACTCAAAGTTATCCAAAACATTGTTGCCCAAACTTATCTAACACCAAGTCACCTTTGCCAAGACCCCTGTGTTCACTGAGAGATAGTAAGAACTGCCGATGCTGGAGTCAGAGATAACACAGTGTGGAGCTGGAGGATCACAGCAGGCCAGGCAGCATCAGAGGAGCGGGAAAGCTGACGTTTCAGGTTGGGATCCTTCTTCAGAAATGGGGAGGGGGAAGGGAGCTGGAAAATAAGTAGAAAGAGGAGGGGTGGGGCTCGGGAAGGTAGGTGGGATGGTGATAGGTGAGTGCAGGAGGGAGTGGTGGGGGTTGGTCAGTGGGATGGGTGGGGCGGATAGGTGGGAGAGAAGATGGATAGGTTGTATCAGGTCAAAGAGTTGAGGATGAGAGGGAGGGTTGGACATGGGATGAGGCCAGGGGTGGGGAGATTTAAAACTAGTGAATTCCATGTTTAAGCCATAGGGCTGCAGGCTCCCAAGGCAGAGTATGAGGTGTTGCTCCTCCAGTTTCCGTCATTGTGACACTGGACAAAGCCCAGGATGGACATGTCGCCCAGTGAGTGAGAGGGGGGAGTTAAAATCGTTGGCAACCTGAAGGTGTTGTTGTTTGTCGTGTACAGAGCACATGGGCACCTGCATGGGCCCAAACTATGCTTGCCTCTTCATAGGATACGTGGAACAGTCCCTTTTCCACTTTACATTGGCACTATTCCCCACCTCTTCCTCCGCTACATTGATGACTGTATCAGCGCTGCCTCATGCTCCCACAAGGAGCTTGATCAGTTCATCAACTTTACTAACACCTTTCACGCCAACCTCAAATTCACCTGGACCATCTCTGATACCTCCCTCCCCTTCCTGGACCTCTCCATCTCCATCTCTAGTAACCGCCTAGAAACTGACATCTATTTCAAGCCCACCGACTCCACAGCTACCTAGACTACACCTCCTCTCACCTACCTTCCTGCAAGATCCCCTACTCTCAATTCCTCCGCCTCCACCGCATCTGCTCCCAAGATGGAGCATTCCATTCCCGAATATCCCAAATGTCTTCCTATTTCAAGGACCGCAACTTCCCCCCTCTGATGACTGAAAATGGCTTCAACCGCATCTCTTGCATTTCCCGCACCTCTGCCCTTACAACCCCTCCCCCAAACAAAAATAAAGACAGAATCCCCATTGTCCTCACATATCAACGCACCAACCTCTGCACCCAACGTATCATTCTCCGTCACTTCCGCCACCTACAATCCAACCCCACAACCAAAGAGATATATCCCTCCCCATCCCTATCTGCCTTTTATAGGGACCGCTGTCTCCGCAACTCCCTCGTCCGCTCCACATTCCCTGCTAACCCCACCACACCCGGTACCTTTCCCGTCCCACTGCAGGAAGTGCTACACCTGCCCCTACACCTCACCCCTTATCTCCATTCAAGGCCCAAAACAAACATTTCATATCAGACAGAGCTTCACCTGCACATCCGTCAACTTGGTCTACTGTATCGACTGCTCCCTGTGTGGCCTCCTCTACATCAGTGAGACCAAGCGTATGCTCGGAGACCATTTCATAGAGAATCTGCACTCTGTACACGACAAACAACAACACCTTCTGGCTGCCAACCATTTTAATTCTCCCTCCCACTCCCTGGGTGAACTGTCCATCCTGGGCCTCCTCCAGTGTCACAATGACACCACACACAAACTGGAGGAACAACACCCCATATTCTGCCTGGGGAGCCTACAGCCCAATGGCCTAAACATGGAATTTACCTGTTTTAAAATCTCTCCACCCCCGGCCTCATCCCATGACCAACCCTCCCTCTCATCCCTGCCTCCTTAACCTGACACAACCTGTCCATCTTCTCATCCACCTATCCGTCCCACCCATCCCACTGACCAATCCCCACCACTCCCTGCCTGCACTCACCTATCACCATCCCACCTACCTTCCCCAGCCCCACTCCTCCTCTCTATTTATTTCCCAGCTCCCGTCCCCCTCCTCATTTCTGAAGAAGGACCCGAAACGTCAGCTTTCCTGCTCCTCTGATGTTGCCTGGCCTGCTGTGTTCCTCCAGCTCCACGCTGCGTTGTCTCTGACTCCAGCATCTGCAGTTCTTGCTATCTCTGAACGTCTTGATTTAAAATTATTGTCTTTGTTTTTAAATCTCACTGTGCTTCACCTTCTCTATCTCTGAAATTTCTTCCAACCCCACAATCATTTGAAATATCCTGACCTCCGTGCATCCTCAATATTAATGGCTTCACCGACAGTGGCCATGTCTTCAGTTGCCTGCCACTCCAAGCTCTAGAATTGTCTCCCTCTACTTCTCCAGCTTGCTGCCTTGCATTTCCCCTTAAGACACCCCTTAAAACCTAACTTTTCATCAAGCTTTTGGCTATCTGACCAAATGTTTGCTTGGACAATTCTGTATCATATTTTGTTTTATAATGCTCCTGTGAGGTGCCTCAGAATATTTTAGGTTTTATATAAATATAAGTTGTTGTGCTTTCTGCTCTGCCAGCAACCAATAATATCAAGTTAAATGAAGCAGTTAACCTTGTGAAGTTTTCCTGTTACTATGCTGATTAATGTTGGAAAACACAGTGGTTATGATAGACTTCACTTCCCTGAGGATTTCTCTGCTGCCTGTAATGAGTTGACAGCTGCTAAATGTTAGCATGTGAATAATGATGCAATCTATTGAACTGCTGTAAAATTATTCATATATGATCTGGGGAAAAAACCCACAGAGATTCATATATTCATATTAGAGCTGCAGTTCTCAAAGCTTTTTGTGTCAATTAAATTTTTGTTTGTAAGCATGTGAATATATTTTGTTCTATGTTAAAGAAAAAATTATTTTGATAAATGTGCATTGTAATTCTAATGGCAATTTCATTTAGTTCATTACTAGAGGGTACGGAATTCCTCGTAGTACACCATTGGTTGTGTTATATGAGAAGTTTTATTGAAATGAGTGATGCATCATTCATGATGATATTACTTCTGTCACCGTTACTCATAACTGGCTCATGGGAAATCCACAGTTGTAGTTTAAGATTGACTGTCTCTGACATAAAACTCGAGGGGGTAATTAACACACACACATACACAGATAAACCCAACAGGTTTCGTTGGGAAGCTTTGTGCCTTCATTTTACTAGTGACTGTTTGTTTAAAAATATTATAATCGTGGAAGGCATCAGTCAGGCCCATTCCTGCGTTTGTTTGATATCCACTTGTAAAATCATCTTCAAACTCTGGTTGATTTATTCCCCCTGCTTTCGTCACCCAGAGCAGGATGGTAGTTTGTAGAAGTCTTACTTCTTGCCCAGGCCAGTTCAACGCAATGGGAAGCAATCCATCTGGTCTGTACTTATCATTCACTCACATCTTTAATCAAATATGTATTATTTTTACAACCCACACTTTGAGTAGATACTTCCACTACATAGTCAAAGTTCAGCATCAGGCATACAAGGGAGTGTGTCTTTGCTTGGGGGCATGTTGGTTTTCCTCACACAATTGTACATTTCTCAGCTTGTTACATGTACATGTGGAATGGGATCTCCAGCAGTAGGTGGTGACGGTGATGGAAGGCGCTGGTCCAAGGCCCTCAGAAGTTTTCCATGACCACCACCAGCAGGTGGCTAGGGTGAAAGAGGACATCTGGAGTAGTCAAATGGACTTTTGCTGGAAAAAAGACATCTTTGGTAGGAAGTGGACTGATGGGAAGGGGGAGCATATAGACAAAGGATCCCCAATGTATCCCACCGGCTTTGTTCCATGTATGTTCTGTAAATAATTCCTTGTTCATCTTCAGTTTCCTTTCCTGTTTGTAATGGCCTAATACCAATGGAATAATGACTTCCTGCTTCATGACTTTGGGGTGTTCTCATGTTCAAATCTGTTACCTATACATAGGGTGGATACCACATTTTGTGGTAGGGTAAGGCAGGAAGTTGACACCCCAACTGTTACCTTAGGAGGCTGAAGGTTATGGTGTCATATTTAAGAACACACATAGGCCGTTGTTCCCTACAAATCAGGAGCATCATTTGAGCTCTTGGAGTGGATGCCAGCCTGCCTCACTTCCCCATTTAGCCTGCCTCCCTTAACTAGACAGACTTCCACCCTTGGCCAATATCTTTGACCTGTGACCGTTGCACACCTGCCTCTCCCCTTTGGTCATCCTTTATGCCCCATTCAGGGTAGATTCTCACCCTGATTTCATATAGCTTGGCATACATGAACGCTTCCTAAAGAGAATAAAGTAGCAATTCAAAGTCCAGCAACTACAATACCTTTCCTGCTGCACGCCACTTTTCCACAATTGGGTATTGAGCAATTTATATTGCTTGCTTGGGCAGATCTCAACCGCGGAGGGAGATTTAATTCTGATGAGCTGACCTTTTAATGAGAATGCTTGTCATACAAATATTACAAAATGACTTCCTGATGCCTGCCTTTAGGAAACTTGAAACCCCTGTGAAGTTCCTAGGAGTTACTAGGACTTATTTGCAAACTTTCATCTCACTGTCAGGAATCTGATTTTTGACCTCTTATGTGATTAAGTTCGCCTGCCCACTTTGCACCCTCTGTGTTGCTCCTTATCTCTCCCTGACTTTCTGGAAATGAAGTTTAAAAAAAAGACCCAACTTATCTTAGTTTCTCAAAACTTCCATTTGTAGAATCTGCAGGAAGTATGGGAAGCTATTGTGAACCAATCACTGCACAGGAGAAAATTAATCAACGAGCTTGATAAAACTTACAAAGATTTTGAAAAAGAGAGAGTGAAGAAGGTAAGCAGTTGTTGAGTTATTGTTGGAATTCAACTTTTTGCATGCTCCATGCTCTTCCCTGTGCAAACTTTCCTCAACTTTGAGCTGAATGAATCCACAGAAAGTCCCTACAGTGTGGAAGGAGGCCGTTCATCGCATCGAGTACACGCCACCATCCAAAAAGCATCCCACCCAGACCCACCCCATGTAACTCTGAATTTTCCATAGAAAACCCACCTAGCCTGCCCATCCCTGGACACCACAGCATGGCCCATCCACCTAGCCTGCACATCTTTCGACTGTCAAAGGAAACAAGAGCACCCAGAGGGGAACGACGCAGACATAGGAAGGAAGTGCAAACTCCACACAGACAATCACCCGAGGGTGGAATTGAACCTGGATCCCTAGAGCTGTGAGGCAGCAGTGCTGACCATTGAACCACCATGCTGCCGACTGCTGTTGGATCTGTTAAATCCGATGATGTTGGATCTTTGTGGCTGTTATCATTTCTTCCACAATTCTGTGAAATTCATGGACTTTCAAACACTGCACCCAGGCAGTCATGCAGAATGTTCCCAAATGCTTTCCAAGGTGGCATCCCATTTGTCTCTTCACCAGATTTCTTGGGAAGAGTTTTCCCGTTTTTGGATGAAGCGAGTTTCCTGAAGAGAAAGCCACAGTCTGGTCAGAAAGCCCACTGGACCTCACGTCAATCGGGCAGTTGATTGGTTGTCATCCAGCTTTCTGCCGGAATTATGAAGCCAGAGCAGAGGGTCCACTGCAAGGGCAGAGTTATGACTGTCAGTAGCCTCCTAGCTCCCAGTTTGTTTTATTCTGTTGAAAGCTCATCTTCATAGATGCTGTCTGATCTGCTTAGTATTTCTACCATTTTTTGCTTTTGTCCCTGGTCATATATTCTAATTGGTCTAAACTTTGCAACAGTAATACATCACATGTTTACACAGAAATTCAATAACATAAATATACATCTGTGATTCAGATAACTGCTGCTTTTAAGGACTGCTTGGAAGCTTTGGAAAAAATCGCTTATATCCCATTAGGTGATATTCATCGATTTATAGATAAAGAAGCCATGGTAAGAACAAACCAATTCTATCATAACTACACATTTCCAAACCGTGACTGTGGCCTGGCTGGGGAGGGCGACATCATTGGGGGTGAGGGGGGATAATAATGGCAGTGGTCAGGTGTAACGTTTCTTGTAAGTGTTGTTTTATGTTACCAGTTTGATTCAGTGCACGGTATCTTTCCACAAAAGAAATGCTTCTGGAAAGCTGCTCACCACTGTCATTTCCAGCCATTTCCCAACTCATTGATTCTCTAATCACATGCAGTTTCTGTCCTGCACTTGCTGTTGGTATTGGTCCTATTCAGAAAGTCACTGAAGAAAGGAAATATGATGTCATGTAAACTGAGTTTTGTACCAGACAATTCTTCACCAAAAGCAGAACAATGAAACACTTCATCAGAGTATTTTCTACTGAGTTGATGCATTAACAACATTTGTTAATTACACTATGGTTCCTGATTCAAGTATGTCCATCAGGATTCTAGTAATTGTGGATGAAATACAGCAGTGTAGACTTGTCCTTCCAAAATCTCACTCTTTCATAAGAACATTTTAAGTAAAATAACATTGGAGTGAAGTACTGGTGACTTCTGGTCATGGCACAAGTTGAGACAATGAAATTAGTGTACAGGCTCAAAATATGAGCAAAATGTGCCTTAAGTGTCAAAAAATTATTTTCACTAAACAAGCTAAATAACAATACTTATTTCTGCCCTGATTTGGTATAGCTTATAAACCAGGCTTTGCTGGCAAATCAAAGAGCCATGAATAAGCTGTATGTGAATCTGATGGAGGCTGATCTGATACATGAGATGTCAGAGCGGCAGAAGCGTAACTTGAAAGTGCATGAGTTGAATATTCGCAAGAAGAATGACATCCTTCAGAATTTCAAGTAGGTCTTTGCCTTACCAAACCAATAACTGTCTGAAGAATGAACTCATTCATGGTTATACTGCGGCAAATTCATTTGATTTCTTTCCTTTTTATTTGTTTGTTGAATGTGAACTTTGCAGAAATAAACTTGTCCCACCATCTTTACTTTATTGACTACTTTTTTGTTCATGGCATTTCAGAACTTTGCTGCCACGCATCTGAAGCTACAAAAGGACATCCCGCATGCATTTCCCCTCTCAGCAAGCTCACTGTGTTGAAATCAAGTTCACTTACTTACTTACTTTTACTCATTCTTTTTTAGGACCTTAAAACCACAAGGCTCTTTATCTTAAGTTTTTCCCCACCTCCCTCCTGCATATTTAAAGGTTTTAATACCCAAACTTAGCAATACCTAACTACTAATTCTTAATTTATCTCCTCTTTTCTCTTACCGCTTTCAATTTTGATATGAGCTTGCACCTTGAAGTATGTACTTTAGCCCTTTCTCTTTGCTTCTCGAGAAAAAGCGCAGGAAGTATTTCTGCACTTTTTAAAATTCATTCATGGGTGTGGGCATCACTGACAAGGCCAGCATTTATTGACTATTCATAGCAGCCTTGAGGGGGATTATCTTCACCTTTAAAACATTGCTGTGGTTTTCACACATATGGGAATACTGAGCGGATAGTGTTTTGTACCTGTGAGTTATTTGACATAGAGATGCTAATCACCACTGAGTTTAATAAAATCCTACTGCTGAGGAACAGTTGGAACATAGAACCTTGTCATTTTGAATAAGGACATTCAATCATCACATTTGTGTCAGCCATCTAAGATGGTTATCCAAAGTCTGACTCAACTGCCCTTTCCCCATGTGTTTTGAGTTTTATTATTGCAAATATTTGATAAGAGGTTTCAGAGATTTTAACCCTTTCTCCTGAATGATGGCAAGTCTTTGATCTGTCAATGATCTAATAAATCTGAGAGATTTACCCCTGAGTTCTTTCCTCTGTCTTCTTCATAGATTCCCTTTGAGAAACGGCCCATGGACAACTGAAACTGCCCATGTTGGCATTATATGGAAAAGAATGTATCAGATGACTACTCAGTCCCAGGATTTTAGATGATTCCTGTCACTCTGTAATAATCTTTTCATCCTTTGTCCTTAATATTATATTGACTGTGTTACTGAAGCTATACATTGGGTTATCCTGTAATCAACACTCCACAACAGCAACGCACCTAATGACTTTCATTTTTTTCAATAGACATCTTATAGTTTCTTTAGTTTGTCGTTTCCACATACGTGAAAAGGTTGTACATTTACTTTTGAAAATTAACAAGTTATGTCCTATAATCACAGATATCTCAATATCTTTGGGCATGGGCTCTGACAGCCCATGTACATTATATAGGGCTACTTTAATGAAATTGTGTAATATTGATGATTGTTTATGGGAACCCTGGAGTAAAAACTTACTTCCAGGAAAGAAAACAGATAGAGGGACCATTTCTGTGTGCTGATCCTGGTCCTGTCCCTGGAGGGAAGCACTCACAGCTGCAGGTGGATTGGGTGGCCAATCCCGAGTTGCTGGGGTGGGAACAGAAGCATGACTAAAAGAAGTTCAAGGCCATGGTGGCTTTAAAAATTTCTGGTAGGGGTTGACACGCAGTACTGCAAGATGTGAGGTCTCTTGTGATGAGGGAACAAATCTCTATAGCTATCTGCCTAGACAGTCACAGCGTCCCGCAGCATTAGTTCTCGCTCATCTCCATTTTCTGTTTTAGATACTATGCTGACACTATGGCCTCCATACCTCTAATCTTTCTACTCTGCCATTCTGATGTTCAGGGCTCTGTCCTTCGTGCAACGGATATTACTGCTCATTGCCACTGGACCCAAAATCTGAGAGTCACATTTCCATTGTCAGCTGCAACATTTTTTGCAAATGTGTTTGGCAGCCTTGGCCCCTCTCCTTGTGACCCTGTGTGTTGTAAGTAGTGAGATGATGTCCTGCATTGCCCAAAGGCTCATTGTATCCTGCACTGAGGGAATGGGATCTCTGTACCAATTGCTGAGCTCCCTGTGCACCATTCTGTCTTCTGCGGACCTTATCTAACTCCCTTTTCTGGCCATGAGTGGTTCGCTGCTGGTCTCCATTCCCCTGGCCTGCTGCAGACCCAGCATGCAGTCTATTCATTGCTACCAAAATCTGAACAAGACCCTCAATGAGCTCTTAATGAGTTCTTTAACTCAATTAATTACTGTTATTGCTGAGAGTGATGTGAAAAGGGCATGCTGGCTAGCATGAATGGCTTTTGCAACGTCTGTTCTCAGTCCCTAACGTTGACCACCAATACCATTTTAAGAATTAGTACAGTTTTAGGTAACATCAGTTAAGTTTCATCATTAAATATTAGAACATTGCTATTGAATCTGGTTGGCAATGTTGAGTAAATTAATTTGTTTGCTAATAAATTGAGATTTTTTTTGCTTTATATGTTCGTTTCACAGAGATTTTTTAGCAAATGATTGGAATGCTGGATTAGAAAATGAGAAGTATTTATTGATGCAAGAACAACAAAATCTAAATTACAAACGGATTCAGCGTCTTGAGGGCATTGTGTAAGTTTAAAAAACACAGTTCTGATGAATGTCACATTTGAAATATTTACCTATATCTTTCAGATGTTGACAGACATTTTGTACATTCCCAACGTTTCTGTGTTGTTATTTTGGAATTCCAACTGGGAATTTCCCATTAGGAAAAATCATGTCTGCAGGGCTATAGACATTTTAAATTTATTTTGGATTGGCGTGCATTTCTGATGGTGATAGAATATATTCCTTTCACATTGGAGATGCACCACTCAGTCTGATAAAACCTGCAGCTTTAGAATCATTTAAATGTGGAAAGTGGGACCCCAAGCTCTGCTAAGGAGTTTTGTTGCATAAGTTCTTGAGGACTGATACAGTGTAGAAGTGGCAGGCTCCAAACTGATGATTTGTTCTGTTGTTAACTTTAACTTTAACCTTTTCTCTTTGAACATACTCAAGACAATCACAGCGGGACACACACACAAACACACATGTGTGCAGACACAGGCACACACACGTGCACAGACACACACCCATAAACACACACACAAACATACATGAACACACTCACACACACACACACAAACATACATAAACACACACACGTACATACGCACACACACACACACAAACATACATAAACACACACACAAGAAGTTACATCCTCCCTATATGCACCCAGTCCATACCCCTTAAGATCTCAAATATTTCAATCATTTTGACTGGACATCTGCCCACTAAAACATGATAATGCACCATGAAAATGTCCTTGCTCTTCTCTAAAGGATTCTTTAAGTCTGTCCTGAGAACTTCAGTTCTCATCTGAAAGACAGTATCTCAAACAGTGCTGCATTCCTTAAGTACTGCACTGAAGTATTAGCCTAGATTTTGTCTTTAGGATGGAGTCTCACAGGGGCCTGAGCAATGTGGGTCATGGCGAGATTTGAGGCAGAATTTCATGAGAAGTCCAGTGAGGTCTAGCTCAGACGCCAGTAGCTACATGCTGTGCCTTTTATGCTTCTGCCAAGTGGCATGGTGAGTTTCTTGCTAGGCAGTGGTAAGTTGCCAGTTAACAGGAATTATTGCTTGGTAATCATCTTATTAACAGCACAGCTCACCTCATTAATATTCAGCTATCCATCTTGCTAAATGTACCAAGCAAGCTAGACAGCAAGATTTCTTCACGTGGAAGCCACAGCGGGTTCCTGATGACTTCTGCTCACTCTGAAGTACCACCATGTTAGACATTGGGCACCAACATCTCACTGTACACTCCATGGGCACCATGCACCCCACGTCCGTAGACATTTACACCTAACATAAGGCAGCATCTAAGAACATTCATGGCACATCCCCAATTCATTTACTTTAGCACTTCAATCAGGGTGTGTCGGAAACTATCATTGAAATGTTCCAGCAATGACAATTTGTGCTCAGGGACACACACACAGCTCAATGACAATTTTGGTGGTGATCTGAATCTGGGAAGTCCCAGCCACAAACCTAATTCCCCTGTTACTCCAGTTGACAGTTGGGAGGCTGTTTCTCTGTTTAATTCTTTTCTTCATTACTTCAACAAAGTACTGAACCTGGTAGGCTCCAAACCCTCTCTGGTCTGCGGACAGGACTTCCATTTCCATCTGCCTTCCTCAGAATGAAAATCTAAACCTCGCTTAACACCTGAACTACCAGTTATTAAAATTAATTTATTTAAAAGAACAGCAACTTGTATTTATGTTGGGATTTTAATGCTGTATGGTAAATATCATGAATGTTTCTCAGGAGAAATGGATGATGTGTGATAATTGATGAGTTAGAAAAGAGGGCCAAAAGCATGGTTCAAAGAGGTGGATTTGAATAAGCTTTCTAAAGGTTGGTAGAGAGGTGGTAAAGTTTTGGGGATTACAAGGGGGGAATTCCAGAGAGTGGGGACCAAGGCAATAAAGGCTCTGTCACTGATGGTGGAACATGGGAGGAGATTTACATGAGTCCAGGGTTGGAGATCCAAAGAGTGCAGGTAAACCGCAGGGCGAGAATGTACTGCACACGTGAACTGAGACAGGCTACAAAGATTTAGAAATGAGGACAAAAGTTTTTTTTTAATAAATGCATTGTTTGGTGTAAACAATGCACAATTGAAGATGGTGGGAAGGATATTGGGGAAGTCTGGAAGAACAAATACTTTCTTTTAAATGCTCTTGGGATATGGGTGCTATTGGCAAGGTCAGCATTTATTGTCCATTCCTAATTGTACTTGGGAATTGTAGCATGTGGTAGTACTACTGGACTAGTCATTCAGAGGCTGTACTACTTCTCTTGACACCACAAAGCTGGATTGAGCTTTTAAATTCAATTGATTAATATATCTGAAAGAAATGGCTAGTCTCATCAATAATTATCATGAAACTACTAGATTGTCATAAAATTCTAACGGGTTCACAATAGTCCTTCAGGAAAAGAAAACTGCCATCCTTACCTATTCTGACTTACATGTGACTCCTGGCTCACAGCTATGTGATTGACTGTTAATTGCCCACTGAAATTGCCTAGCAAGCCACCAGGTTCTATCAAAAAAACTACAAAAAAAGTAAACAAAAATGTAATTATGAATTTGAGCAATGGTGAAGTTTGAATGAGGTTGGAGGTGGATAACATTGCTGAGGTCGGGCAGGATAAACTATGTGTTTATTCATTAACATCTAAGTAATATGTCAGTAGTTATAATGTAAAAATTGTGTGCTAAATCTAAAGTTCATTTGTTTTGTGTTTTGAGCATGGCATTTTCCATGTCTGTTTGGAATATAAACAATTTTGTTTATCATTTATTTCTTTATGGTTTATGCAGAAACATGAACCCCTTTGACTTAAATAAAGCCACATTGCTTCAGTGGTATGACTCCGTACGAGCCTTAAATCAGGAGATAGGTAAGGATATATGACTGAAATCACTAAGAGCTTTGATTTCCTTTTGGTAGCATGCTGATTAACAGAATCGCGCAAAACTTTCAATGCTTTTTCAATCAATTGTAAACGTATAAGGTAAATGGGCAATTGAGTGTATTGCTTCATCAGACAGCGGCACCAGTACTGGTTCAGGAAGGTGCTGGATCACTAGGACAAATAGATCAAAATGCTATAGGAAAGGGTGCATAGAGCTGCGGATAAGACTTTGCACAAGTAAGTTAAGAGGAAAGATATGGCGGAGGCTACATGAACTTGAAAATAAACTGAGATAAGAGCAGAAAGTAGACTATTGTAAGGAATAAACATAAAGGAATAAAATGTAAATGGTGAGCAACTTAATGTAAGTATGAAGTGATTTAAAAATAAAATGCCAGGAACAATTAATATGAATGAACTAAATTGCCTGTGTACAGCGGATGAAACAAAATGGGAACAGAAAATAATAATTAGCAGTAAGAGAGCAAATGTAAGAGGGTTAATTAAAATTTGGCTACATCAAGGACAGGACTAACAACTAAACATTGCTTATTCTAACATTTTCTCACTGTAACCCTATTTTTATTTAAAATTGTCATGATCCCTCTGTGAGATCTGTGACAGTGGGCTGGGTTTGAGAAGTCCTATGAAGAGTAGAGGGCAGCGTTGGAAGAACTGTAAAGGGAAGGGGCACAGTCATGAGGCAACCTCAAAATTTCAACTCGCTACTCCACTTGGGGTCCCAGCCCCGACTTTGGGAAACCTTGTTCTTGGGTGGGGGTTTTCAAAACTAGGGGGCATTTTTTAAGAGGAGAACGATTTAAAAGGAATCTGAGGGACAACCTTTTCGCACAGAGGGTGGTTCATGTGTGGAATTAACTCCAGAGCAAGTGGTCGACGCAGGTACAATAACAACATTTTAAAGACATTTAGACAGTTGCATAAATAGGAAATGTTTAGAGGGATATGGGCCAAACACAGACAGGTGGGACTAGTCTAATTTAGGAAACTTGGTCATCGTGGACAGTTTGAACCAAAGTGTCTGTTTCCGTGCTGTATGACTCTATATTTGGAAATGATAGACGAGAGATGAAAGGAAGACAGGTTGCCTGTAATAATTAGACGCAACATACTTGAAGCAAAATGAAGGGACGTAAGTAATGTTATGATTTAATCAGAATCAGTGAACCTTCTCTGGAATGCTTCTGATGCCAGTATATCTTTCCTTAGCATAAGTGGACCAAAGCTGTTTACAATATTCTAGTTGTGATCTGACTTGTGCCTTATATAGTTTTAGGAGACTTCCCAATTTTTATACTCCATTCCCTAGAAATAAAGGCCAACAGTAAATTTGCCTTCCCTATTACCTGCTGAATCTGGATTCTAGCTTTTTTGTTTCATGCACAAAATACATGATTTGATATGTATAACATTATATATGGCTTGCTGGAACAGTTGTAGATGACTGTACTGGAGATAGCAGGGTAGATTCTAACATATCCTTTTCAAGAATCTTCTATGAATGGTAAAGATGACTTTTCGAGAGTTTTTGCTGAGAAGAGTTACAAAGATTGCGAGAAACAGGGAGAGAGCAAAGGGCTGTTGCCTTTTAGGCATGTCAAATTTTCTCTGACTGAACTCAAAAATACGCCATCCACAAACTGGACGATGTGACCTCTCTCTGAAAGTTCTCCAGACTGTATGACTCCATCTGAGCTCCCTGTCCCTTGCAGATATAACATCTTTGCTGTTGTGTGCAGTACCTTTTCCATAACAAAGTGTCCTTTGTTTAAATGTTCAAGATATATTTATGTGGGTCCACATAATTCTCTTTAAAAAAATAATATTTGGATCACATCACTTCATAGCAATATTTACATAAGGAGTTTGGATGTAGGAAACAGAATACAGTTTCACAATTTGCAGATGCCATCAAACTGGCAGGTATGTTTAACACCAGGAAAACTAAGACAAATCACAATAAAAGTTAATAAACATTTAGAAAAGATAGTGAAACAAAAAATCCTTGGCATACAACCTGACAGCTCAATGAAAGTAGCAACACAGCTTAATAAGGCCTTGAAAACATAAGTGAAGCACTGGGATTCATTTCTACAGGAGTAGAAATTGTGTTAAACCTGTGTAAAACCATGCTGAGCCCACATTTGGAAAGGTGTATGCAGGTCTTCATATTACAAAAATGAACATGGTGTAGAGTAAATTTACAAGATGATGCTAGAACTGATGGCTTGTAACTGTCTGTAAGAACCGAACAAGCTGAGGTTCTTTCCCTCGTAAAGGAGATGACTGAGGGTCAATTTAATAGAGGTTCTCAAAATTCCAAATGTATTTGATACTTTGTATTTTGTAATATCGGATAGCTTCATAAATATTTTTCAGATTTATAGATCAAGATTGAAAGTAAAAGCAGATCACATTTTGGGAAAAACAATTTATTCCAGCATAAAGTTATACAATATACTTCATACAGTAGAGAATATTTAATAACAACATGTTTTAACGTGATTTGTTTCTAGATTCCCTCCATATCCAATATACAAGTAAATTACAGGTATATCATGAAAAGGTGTATCATGTGTGGATGACAGAAATTGACAAGTCTGAGGTGGGTACATTTGTTAAAGTCATGCAATGTGGGAGTGGTTCCTTCGAGAATGGGTTGTTGAATTGTTAGGGAGTCATACAGCAAACTGGGAAGTATGATCCATGCATTATTGTTTGGATAAGGCGATTCTTCTCTCTGTATAGGCACATGTGTCTCCTTTTGTACTTTGAAGGCAAGAGGAAGTGTTTGACTCCAGCTTTGGCAGTACAGACTTGATGGGCCAAAAGGCCTCTTCTGTGCTATATGGTTCTGTGTTTCAGAACTTGGTGGCTGAGAGTGACTGGAGGTCCCAATGTTTCTCTGATCTGCAAGTGAGTACCGGTTGATAAGAAGTTGACTTCCATTGGAAGGAGTCTAGGAAAGAACAATAAGATTGATCCCAGCATAAATTGAATGAGGTATGAAGGGAGATTAAGGATTTTACAAACTAGAAAGAAGAGTTAGTATAGACCTTATAAGATTATATTTAATAGTTTACATAAACTGGGTTTAAAGAAATTGGGACCTGTGAACAGCACTGAAAATGAGTTGAAAGTGAATCTGGAATAGATATTAACAATGTATATTTATATAGCACACAGATAATAATAAAAGGTTCCAAGGGGTGGTGAGCGAATGGTGGCAGGATAAATAATGAAAAATATTGGAATAATCGACCAAGCATAATAATCCTGTATAATCTAAAATATTGGAGCTAACTAAAATATAATGAAATATTATAATGGCAGACTTGGTGCATCTGGAATGAAGTTTGTGAATTGAGTGACTATTTCATGCCCTGATTTTTCTCACATTCGAACTCCAAAACATTTCAGACAAGTTTCTTTTAAATCATGAAGCTCTATACCATCTGCAAAAGGACAGGCCAGATCGTCTTTTTGTATATAATATTCTTGCTGTACTACTTTTTGCCTACATTTTGCTCATGGCCTGCAGTATTAGCAGGGTACATGTATTTCATAGTAGAAACATGGTGAATGGAGGGAGAGTAGAATGATGACGTATTCCTGGCCCCATGATGGCAGGGGCCGTTCGGAAAGTAGCAGAGGAGCTGCTGTTGGGGGTTGCACATTCCTACTGTGTTTCTTTTGGCAGGCAGGGACCCAGATGGTCTGCCAAAATCAAGGAGGGAGCAACCAATTAAGATCCAGTCAGGTTCGATTTTTGATAGCATGGTAGCATTTTGCTGCTGGCAATGTGAGCCCTGATGCAAGAGGATGCCAACAATTCCATGGAGACAACCTGGGGGTATTATCAAACCTAGACACTCAATACTACAAAGCAGAGGATTGCTGTAGGAAAGGCCCATACGGTAGAACCAAGGAGGAGTTTCTCTTCAAGTTTGAGGGATTTAACCACATTGCTCTGAATAATTTTAACTTTTAAAGCTAGCCTGTTTCCAAGCTAGTCTGCCTCCATGTTGAGGTATCCTCGAGTCTTCCACCTGCCTCAGGAATGCCCACCTCTCCTCACGGAGCTGCCATGGCTCCAGATTGCTTCCTGCAGCAGTGAAATCCTGCCCACCATTCTTGTTGGGAGGATGAATGTCAAGGTGGCTAATTTGGAGGCTGCCCACCAGAAAATGGCTTTGTTCAGTGCACTGCTGGTAAATGCTGGTTTGGTTTCCCTGTTTGGTCCAGGTGTCAGGATTCTGAAACCCCTGGGAAAATCCACCTTGGTATTTTCAATGCAGACTATTTCTCGCAAAGTCTGATTTTAGCTGAACTCTGAATTTGAATTTTTCCCATTGTTCAAACCCTATTGGAGATCTACTGATTTAAGCAAGCAGCCAGGTCCCTGCGTATTGCTGAGGTAACTTACTTCTGTGTGAATTTGTACAGTAATGTATGTATGTAGTAGTGTAACTCTTATAAGTTTTGCAGTGTAACAATGAATGGCCAGTTTTCTGAATTCGATTTGCTTTCAATAGGGGTAGTTTGGTGGGTGCTGTTTACATAACAGGGAAGATTTCAAAGCATAAGTGTATCAATGCCATTGATTTACAGCACATCAGTAAGGAACATAGTTGGTGTAACTGAAAACAGTACAAGTGAGACAGTGGCCAAGTGACAATGGCTGGGAAATCAGAGGAGGAAAGAAGAGCCTTAAGTTTTATTTATTTATTCATTTGGTGGGATGTGGGCGTCGCTGGCTGGGCCAATATTTATTGCCGTCTCTAGTTGCCTTTGAGAAGGTGATGAGCTGCCTTCTTGAACCGCTGCAGTCCACTTGCTGTGGGTTGACCCATAATGCCATTAGGGAGGGAATTCCCGGATTTTGACCCAGCAACAGTGAAAGAACAGCGATATATTTCCAAGTCAGGATGGTGAATGACTTGGAGGGGAACTTGAAGGTGGTGGTGTTCCCATAGTTCTGCTGCCCTTGTCCTTCTAGATGGAAGTGGTCGTGGGTTTGGAAGGTGCTGCCTGAGGATCTTTGATGAATTTCTACAGTGCATCTTGTAGACAGTACACACTGCTGCTACTGAGCATCAGTGATGGAGGGAGTGGATGCTTGTGAATGTGGTGCCAGTCAAGTGGGCTGCTTTGTCCTGGACAGTGTCAAGCTTCTTGAGTGTTGTTGAGGCTGCACTCATCCAGGCAAGTAGGGTGTATTTCATCACATTCCTCACTGGTGCCTTGTGGATAGTGGACAGGCTTTGGGGAGTCAGGAGGTGAGTTAGCTGCCGCAGTATTCCTAGCCTCTGACCTGCTGTTGTAACCAATGTGTTTATGTGGTGAGTCGAGTTGAGCTTCTGATCATTAACTCCCAGGATGTTGATAGTGGGGGATTTAGTGATGGTAATGCCAATGAATGTCAAGTGATAGTGGTTAGATTGTCTCTTATTTGTGATGGTCATACCCTGGCATTTGTGCGGTGCAAATGTTACTCACCACTTGTCAGCCCAAGCCTGGATATTGTCCAGATCTTTTTACATTTGGACATGGACTGCTTCAGTGTCTGAGAAGTCGTGAATGAAGATGAACATTATGCAATCATTGGCGAACATCCCCACTTCTGACCTTATGATAGAGGGAAGGTCATTGATGAAGCAGCTGAAGATGGTTGGGCCTAGGATACTACCCTGAGGAAGCTGAGATGACTGACCTCCAACCTTCATATGCGTCAGGTATGACTCCAACCACCAGAGAGTTTTTCCTCCATACCCATTGATTCTGGTTTTGCTGGGGGTCCCTGATGCAACTTTCAGTTAAATGTAGCCTTGATGTCAAGGGCTGTCACTCTCACCTCACGTCTGGAATTCAGCTCTTTTGTCCATGTTTGGACCAAGGCGGTAATGAGGTCAGGAGCTGAGTGACCCTGCCGGAACCCAAACTGGGCTTAAATGCGCAGGTGATTACTGAGCAGGTGCTGTTTGGTAACACTGTCGATGACACCTTCCATCACTTTACTGATGATCGAGAGGAGACTGATGGGACGGTAATTGGCCAGGTTGGATTTTCCTGCTTTTAATGTACAGGACATACTTGGGCAATTTTCCATATTGTCGGGTAGATACCAGTGTTGTAACTGTACTGGAACAGCTCGGCTAGGGGAGTGGCAAGTTCTGGAGCACAAGTCTTCAGTACTATTGCTGGAATGTTGTCAGGGCCAGTAGCCTTTGCAGTATCTAGTGCCTCAACCATTTCTTGATATCACATGAAGTGAATTGAATGGGTTGAAGACTGGTATCTGTAATGCTGGGGACCACTGAAGGAGGCCAAGATGGATCATCCACTTCTGCCTGAAGATTGTTGCGAAAGCTACAGCTTTATCTTTTGCACTGATGTGCTGGGCTCTTCCATCATTGAAGATGGGGATATTTGTGGATGCTTTTCCTCCAGTGAGTTTACTGTAAAAAGTAAAGTCTCCAGAGGCACAGGTGAGTGCAAGAGGATAATAAGTGTAGATTTAGAGACTATCTTCAATGACACTAGCAACAGAGTGACTTCACGATCAACGACATGACACAAGTACTGGGAAAGCAGCGAATAGGTGAATAGGGTTAGTGAGTATTTTTAGTGTTTGTGTTTAAGTTATAAGTCATTTTCTTCTCTCCTCTTCCTAAATCTAGTTAGGTATAATATTGATACTGGTGTTTTTATTTTAAATAGTTATAATAAAGTGTAAAGAGAAGGAGTAATTAATTAAAATGCAATAGAATGTGGAAATAGTAATGGGAAAGCAGGAATTGGCAGAGATGTTGAATAAATACTTTGCATCAATCTTCATAGTAGAAAACACAACAATAACATTCCAAAAATAGTAAATCATCAAAAAACAAAATGAGGAAAATGAAATAAATATACCATCACCGAAGAAAAAGTACTAGGGAATCTAATGGGGTTCGATGACATGTCCCTTTGACCTGATGGGCAGCATCCTTGAATATTAAAGGAAGTAGGAACAAAGTTAGTGGGTGCACTGGTAATAATCTTCCAAGGATCTTTGTGTTCAGGAAAAGCCACAGAGTGCTGGAAACCTGCCAGTGTATCATCCTTATTCAAAAAGAGAAGGAGGCAAAAAACATATAACTATAAAACAGTTAGCTTAATATCTGTTATTTACAGCACAGAGGGATTTGGGTGTCCTTGTGTATGAATCTCAAAAAGCCAGTGTCCAAGTGCAACAGGTAATAGGGAAGGCAAATGGACTGTTGGCGTTTTTTTTCTAAAGGAATAGAGTACAATTATAAGGAAGTCCTGTTAAAAGTATTTAAGGCTCTGGGTAGACCACACCTAGAATACTGTGAACAGTTTGTGTCCCCATATTTGAGGAAAGATATGCTGGCATTGGAGGCAGTCCAGAGAAGGCTCACTAAATTGATCCCCAAGTATGGAGGGATTTTCTTATGAGGAGGGGTTCAGAAGGTTGGGCTTGCACACATTGGAATTTAGAAGCATGAGAGGTGATTTTGTGAAATTAGGTAAGATTATCAGGGAGCTTGACAGGGTAGATGCCGAGAGGCTGTTTCCCCTTGTGGGAGAGTCTAGGACCAGACGGCATAATCTCAGATTAGCGAGTTATAGATTTAAAACAGAGACGAGGAAGAATGTCTTTTCCCAGGGGACCGTGTGCCTGTGGAATTCTTTACTGCAGAGAGCTGTTAAGGCTAGGCAATTAAGAATTTTCAAGGCTGACAGAGAGAGATTTTTAATCAGTAAGTGTATCAAAAGTTATGGAGAAAATGCAGGAAAGTGGGGTTGAGGATTAGCAAATCAGTCATAATTTAATCAAATTGTGGAGCAGACCAGATGGGCCACATATGGTCTTACTTCATTTTCATTACAGCAACGCTGCTGAGGTTGTGTCAGGCAATCATTCATTATTCATCTGCTCAGTTCTGATATTACTGGAAAATGGAAGTAGAACTGTTGGTGCCTTTGATATCCTGTGTTACTCCTTCACTCGATCACAGCGGTATTGATGATGACAAAGGAATTCTTTTTTTATTCTTGTTCATCAACTTTATGCAGTTTTAGTCTCGCATGATGTGGCTTACTCTTAATGCCCTCTGAAGAGGCCTATTTAGCCAATTTTAAAGATATCAATTTCTGAAGGCCCACCATCAGGATTGTAAATACATATGATATTTTCGACGTTGCCCATTTGTTGAGAACAGCAATTAAAAGAAGCAACGATTTAAAACTTTATCTTCACAAATATTCCATTACAAGGAGTGAAAAATTCTGACTGACTTTTTCCAGTAGTTACAAGCTGGCCAAAGTACAATACATGTGGTACAGATGTTGGAATTGCTGTATTGTGTCGTGTTAGTTACTGCATTATTTATGTGTTTCAGGAGATGCTTGTGAACTCAGGGGCGTGTACAAGAGAAGAGGCCAAAAAGCTGATAGTTTCTGACTTTCTTCCAATTATTGGCAATTTACAACGTGCGTTTGAAAATGAGCAATACAATGTGGATGTAAGTGTTTTGTTTTTTTGAACAGCCACTGGTAACAAAATGTTCATGGCGATTGAGTAAATAAGCTGGGGTGTAGGGGCTGGTGGACTGGGTAGTCCCTGTTGGAGATCATGGGAAACATGGCAGGAAATAAATTTAAATCCAGCTCAACTGAAGGAACAAAATTCTTCTTTTTCTGACAACTGTGAAATGACTTTGGCGAAGTTTCATGGTGAAATGTCCTGCACTGTGAAAGTGACAGGAACTTTAATATATCATGCTTTTATCAAAGGGCACTAATCCCAACCAGTGTCTCTCTTGAGAGCTACCCTTCCAAATAGTACAGTCTATTTCAGTATGGAGTAATGGAGCTCAGGTCTGTACTTAGGATTCCCCATTCAATGAGCTGCTGATTTCAATCATGCCATTCTAGGCAGTTCCCCATTAAAAGAGAGAAAAAGATCTGAGGCAAAGTGTTTGTTCAATGTATCTTATCAGTATCTTTTCTCTTGCTATATGCAATTTGAAGTAGCCTAACATCCTACTATCATTTGAGCTCCTTTGGCTAAAGACAAAGCGCAGATAAGATCATAAAATACATGCTATGGTAACATCTTGCAGCCAGGCAGAGTATGAATGGAAGCACATCTACCAAGAAGTATTTTTTAATGTGTTCATGGGATATGTGGGCAATACTTAGTAGCACAGCATGTATTGACCATTTATTTCCTAACTGCCCATGAGAGGTGGTGGTGAGCTGCTTTCTTGAACCTGCCAGCCACAGAGGATGGGTGCACCAACAATGCTGTTAGGAAGAGAGTTCCAATAATTTGTTGCAACAACAGTGAAGGAACAACAATATAGTTCAAGGTCATGATGGTGTGTGTGGCTTGGTAATGGCAAAAAATAATTGATCTCAGAACCATATTGTATATACAACTGGGCTATTGCAAATAATGCCTGAATGCATTGATTCTTGATGTAAAATGGTTCAGTGGGTACCCAAGTACTTGTATTACCTTACTGCAGTGGACATTCCTCACCTATAAATCTGGTCTGTGTGATTTAAGGGAGGGAGTGAATCATTGAAGCCAAATTCTATCCTGTCCTCAGATGGCACTCACACACATAAACATTCCAAATGGTGATAGGGTACAAATATTTCACTCTTCTGAGTTGAGAATGTGGTTGGGGCCTGTTGTTAACCTGAATGAGGTCAGCAAACTCAGCACAGAGAATCCCTACAGTGCAGAAAGAGGCCTTCAACCCACGAGTCTGCACTGACCATATGAAGAGCATTCCCACACAGAAGTACCCCATCCCCAAAACCCCGTATTGGGGTTTTTATCATAGCCAATCCACATAACCTGCACATCTCTGCACACTACAGGGCAACTTTTAGCGTGGCTAATCTACCCAACCTGCACACCTTTGGACTGAGGAGGAAACTAGAGCACCCGAATGAAACACACACAGACATGAGAAGAACTCCACACAGACCATTGCTCAAGGCTGGAATCAAACCTGGGTCCCTGGTGCTGTGAGGCAACAGCACTAACCACTGAGTCCCCATGCCAACCTAAGCAAAAAAAGCACAGACCAGCAATCAAACAAGCAGGCAAACTGCTAAGGAATAGGGAGACAATGTAGTGATTTTTAGGAGCAAAGCATTAAATTGTAAAATGCCATCAAGCTGATCTGAACGTTTCCATGCAGCTCCTGCAGACTCAATAATGTAACTCATCTTCCAATTGTTCTAAATTGACAGAAACACATGGAGATCTTGGATCAGCAGATGGAACTTCAGTGTAACTGGATATATTCTGTTATCAAGGAAGCCACTGAACTGTGGGAGGTGCATCAAGAAATCCTAGCTGACCAGGAGCAGCAGCTGAAAGACCGGATAGATAACTGTCGTAAAAAACACGACAAATCGAATCAGGTGGGAAAAGGGTCCTGTTGCTCCTAGTGGAATCACACTGCAATTCAGCATTGCAGTGTAAAGCCAACATTATAGAAATGGCAAAAACTTTCTCTCCATTGAAATGAATGGAAATTTAGGGTTGTATTTCCCCTTTGTAGGGCAGGAAATGGAAGTTGAAAGTTCTTCTGGGTCCCTAACTTACCGTGGGGATGAATACAGTTATTTGCTGCGATTTTGACATAGATGGATCTTTTAATTGATGTAGAAACCACAAGGCAGCAAGTGGCTGTTGTTGCATGCAGTCAGGCAGGAAGGATACCAAAACTACCTCTACCAGTATACGAAAGGCTGGTTAGGCACCTTTGATTGGGTCTTTATGAGCTTAATGAGCTACCTGAGACATGGCAGTAGGTAGCCCTGCCTGTCCTAAAATAACCAGTGCTGGGTACCTGGGAATAATGTCTAGGAACTGGCAGATTGGTCACCTCTGTTCCTGCCCTCAGCAGGATCTGAAAATCCAGCCCAAACGTTCTATAACAGTGTCCCCCTGACTCATAATGCTGCTTTTACTCTCTGCAATAGATTTAAAACTACCACCATTGTCTTATTGTTTTGTGAAGCGAATCTAGAATCACGCAAACTGGATGAGTGCTGTCAACAATTACTTCCCTTCAGTTAACTTCCCTGATATAGAATAAATTAATAGTAAATGGCTCCATTAGCCCTCTGATGCATTCTTAGAAAAATCCACCAAACAATTGTTAGACAAAATGTTATTTTTTGTTTCCTAAGAATCGTTGTGTTATAGTGGTTGCATTGATTTATTTACTCTTTCTTGTGCATGCCAATTTCGTGGAATTGCCAATTCCCATGGAATATTCTAGCTATCAAATTTTTAAATTAAACTGCCCATAACATTTCCACAAAATATAATTCTAAAAACTAAATGATGGTCAGGAGTCATCAATATGGTAATCTCATTTTGGTGCATCCACAAACTGTTTAAGCTTCAGTCTCATTACCTGTCATGTGATTGTCATAATAAGATTATCTTCTCATTTATGGACATTAGTTATTTTCCTTGTTTTCTGGACTAGCAAGTTAATAAGAGAAACATCTTGCTGGCATAAACCATTTTGAGGTCATGAACTAATTCACACGTTGCTAGCAAACTGTAGGTTCTCCATTGGAGCTAGCTAGTTTTGGGAGGATGGGGAATCGATCATCTGTTTCCTAAAATGCCATGAATGACTGTCAGAATTAGGGAAGAGTAAGATTTATAGGGGCTTCATGTAGACTGACAATGGTTTGCAACTTTTGTCGCTGGTGGTAAGGGGATGAACACCTAAGTAAAAGTACCATTACCTTGGTAGATTTTGAGGAGCCTCCATCAGTCTCTTTAAAGACAATTGATTCAGGCCAAGGACTAAAGGTTAGAATGTATGTCACATGCAGTCCATCCAGTGGTACTCAAAATTGCAACTAGGTTCCAAAGTACATCATAGGATTTTGACTTGCACGTTGCACGTGGCCTCAGGCCTGAAATAACTAGATAGTCCAGTCAACCCCTGTAGAATCCTACCCAAGATTGTGACAGCTAGAGCAGTGTTCAGTCTGTGACTTGTTCACTTTCAGATTTGCTAGCACTTTGCTCCCACTGGGCAGAGGAAGTTTAAGTTGAAGATCTCTAAGCAAATTTTGCTTATCCATTGGAGAAGATGAAACTGCAAGAGACATCTGAATTATTTTCTACTTGTCCTTGTTCTGGGAAATGCACCCTGCAATGCAAATAAAATGGCTTACAGGGAAATATTCAGAATCTAACTGGATCAAGTATTTCAGAACATTGAACAGAATCTTCAGTAGAGTTTTGTCTAAGTAGAACCTTATCTAAAATTCAAAGTGGAATTGTGCCTTTTGATCACTATAACACAAATTGATTTCCCTAACGTAACCAGTTACTTTCTAGATGTCTTGAAAGACTATAAATTGTCCAAGACTGAATGTCAAACATTAAGTTTTTAAAGGGTTGTGTTGTAATATCTGTTGACCATATTTAATTAGTATACTTTTTCTTATACTCCCATGCAAAAAGAAAATTTTAAGAATTTCACTCCAAATATTTTATATCAAAGTTCATGTGATTCGTGTTTCAATTAAACCTATAATTCTTCCACCAGACGAGGGAAGCAAATCTAGATATGCTCATTGACCAACTAAGACAGAGAAACTCAGAAGGAGAACTGAAATCAGACCTCAAAAAAGTCAAATGCCTGCTGGATGGGATTAAAAGAGGGCAAGTATTTCTATTTTGCAAAGTTCTTTTTAAGATAAGTTTTCTTTGTTTCTCCTTTTGTTAGCTCTCTCAACCAGATTTAACATTCTTCACCTGAAATGGGAGGTTCTCAAACCATGCCAAGATCTCTGCCAGTTAGCCAATAGCTTTGATACACAGAGAAAGTTGTGTTAACTTTCAAATTTTAAGATTCCTTCCTGTCGGTTGTTGTTTCTGACTGGTGTGACCAGTGTACTATGCCATAGCAGTCAGTTTCAAATAAATGACTACATTTTTGATGAGCGGGAAACTTCAGATTAAGCTTGGAGAATTACTTGCTCTGTGAAAATTATGAACCAACTACTCCATCTGCTCGCCAGGTGGGTGATGTTGGTATAGTGGTAATGTCACTGGACTAGTAATCCAGAGGCCCAGGCTAATGCCCTTGGGATAGGTGTTCAAATCCACCGACAGCAGGTGGTAGAATTTAGAGTTAAATAATAAATCTATAATATGAAGCTGGTTTCAGGAATGATGACCATGAGAACTGCTTGATTGTTTTAGAAATCCATTTGGTTCATTCATGTCCTTTAAGGAAGGGAATCTGTCAACTTTATCTGGGCTGATCTACATGTGTCTCCAGATTCAAAGCAACGTAGATGACTCTTAACTCCTTCTGTAATAGCCAAGCAATCCACTCAGCTGAAGAGCATTTAAGGAGGGGCAACTAACACTGTCCTTGACAGTGGCAATACCATCCCATGTAAGCAAAAAAACCACTACGTATATGCCATATTTCTGTAGGTGTTCATTTTGAATTGAACAGGGCAGTCAGCTCCTTTATAAATTCCTAGATTCAGCATTAAGAATATACTTTTAACATGGTAGTAACACAAGTGTGTTTTAATTGAGCCATAATGGGTGGGGGCACGGGTACTGGGAGAATGTGTGGTCCTATCCACATTGGATTTGTAGCTTCAGGAAAACTGTCCCCGGTTAACTTGAGGCTGGGAAGTCAGAACTCAGGTCTAAAAAAGAGTCATACAGGACTCAAAAAGTTAACTTTGTTTCTCTCTGCACAGGTGCTGCCAAACCTGCAGAGTTTCTCCAGCACTCTGTGTTTGTTTCAAATTTCCGGCATCCTAAGTATTTTACATTTATTAACCATTTCAGTCACTGTGTTGAAACTCACTCTTTATTTTAGTTTGGGAAATTTTCTCCAATTTGCACAGAGTCAACCATGTGAGTCTATCACACTGTTTTTCTGTTAGTTCCTGATTCTTCTTGCATTCTTACCCTTTCAATTGTGACTTAAATATTCTTTTATTTATGAAACATATTTGCCGACCAATTCTATTTCCACCTGTTCTTCACCAACCAGTATGCTACCAGTGTCCCACTCTGGACTTCCCAGCCCATGCCATGCTGCTGCCAGTGTCCCACTCTGGACTTCCCAACCCATGCCATGCCGCTGCCAGTGTCCCACTCTGGACTTCCCAGCCCATGTCATGTCGCTGCCAGTGTCCCACTCTGGACTTCCCAGCCCATGCCATGCCGCTGCCAGAGTCCTGCTCCAGGCTTCCCAGCCCATGTCATTCCACTGCCAGGGGCTCAATCCACGCAGGAGCAAGAGTTATGCAACCTCCAACACCACGGGTCCATATCTTATTGAATAGCCTAATGTGTGCCACTTTATCAGCCTTCTGAAATCTAAATATATTACATCACTGCTTCCCTTTTATATATCATTCTTGTTGTCTTCTCAAAAAATTCTGGTAAATTTGTCAGGCATGATTTCCCCTTCATGAAGTCATGGTGAGTCTGTTTGACCATATTTGTATCTCATTAATTCTAATAAGTTCAAATGGAACCAGACAACTATTCTCTGATGAAAGGTTACCAACCTAAAGCATTAACTTTATTTCTCTCCACTGATATTTCCTGACCTGCTGAGTACTTCCAGCATTTTCTGTTTATATTTCACATTTTCAGTATCTGGAGTATTTTGCTTTCATGTAATGCTGTGATTTGTTTTAACTTGGTTTTATTCTTTACACAGATATGAGGGCTTTTACCAAAGGCAGATGAAAATTGTTAATGATTATCCTTCCACATCAGAAAAGGAGCTGCTCAGATTCAGTACCGCTATCAGTAAATGTTTTGATGTTATTGAAATCTACAAGCCGGTATGTGAATTCTTCAACCGTGTAACACTGTAACAAAAGTAATAAGATATTTTGGGCAAATAATTTCTTCCGTTTTATATTCTTTGACAAACAGTGATGTGAGTATCAAGTGATATCACCTGCATTATACATCAGTATAGCAAAGGAAGAGGTATCATGTTTTCATAAATGATTTTCAAATCTGATACGTATCTTTTCCCTGCGCATTTATTCACTTTTCTCTTAATTCATTGGTTGTTCTAACAGGATACCTAAAATTCCATAAATACCATTCTGTAATTGACATCTTGAGATGTGACAGATCTAACCTAAAATCAAATCAGCAAATGTGTACTGCAAGTCCATCAGCATTAGAAAGGTGTTGACATAAGTTAGCGTTTCACAGAGTCATAGAGATGTACAGCACGGAAACAGACTCATCGGTCCAACTTGTCCATACCAACTAGATATCCTAAATTAATCTAGTCCCATTTGCCAGCATTTGGCCCATATCCTTCCAAACCCTTCCTATTCATGTACCCATCCAGATGCCTCTTAAATGTTGTAGTTGTAGCAGCCTCCACCACTTCCTCTGGCTGTTCATTCCATACATGCATCACCCTCTGCATGAAAATGTTGCCTCTTAGGTCCCTTTTAAATCTTTCACCTCTCACCTTAAACCTATGCCTTCTAGTTTTGGACACCCCACCCCGGGGAAAAGACTTTGTCTATTTACCCTATCCATGCCCCTCATGATTTTATAAACCTCTATGAGGTCACCCCTCAGCCTCTGATGCTGCAAGGAAAATAGCTCCAGCCTATTCCGCCTCTTCCTATAGCTCAAATCCTCCAACCCTGGCAATATCCTTGTAAATCTTTTCTGAACCCTTTCATGTTTGAAGCATGTCGACAACACTCAGTTCTACCTCACCACCATCTCCTTGGCCCATGTCATCTGCCTCTAGTTTGTCGCACTGCTTTTTTGACATTCAATTTTGGATGAGCAGAAAGTTTCTACAAATAAAATTTGGAAAGAATGAAGCTATTGGTGACCCATGCCACAGACTCTCTTCCTTGTCCACTATTTCCACTCATAGTAACCATCTTAAGCTGATTTAAACCATTAGTAGCAAAAATAGAAATTGCTGGAAAAGCTCAGCAGGTCTGGCAGCATGTAAGGAGAGAAATCAGCGTTAATACTTTGGGTCCAGTGACCCTTCTTCAGAATTGATGGTAGCTGGGAAAATGTAGGTTTTTATATAGAAGGTAGCGTTGGGGTGGGGATAAGGAGTAAACAATAGGTGGAGATAGAGCCCAAAGACAGTGAAGAACAGTTGGACAGACAAAGGTGTGGATAATGGTTAGCCTAGGAGAAGGGGAGATGATGGCCTAGTGGTATTATTGCTGAACTGTTAATCCAGAGACCCATTAACATTCTGGGGACACAGGTTCAAATCCCGCCACGGCAGATGGTGGAATTTGAATTCAATAAATATCCAGAATTGATGCCTGTGAATCCATTATCATTTGTCAGGAAAAACCCCATCTGGTTCACTAATGTCCTTTAGGGAGGGAAACTGCCATCCTTATCAGGTCTGGCCTACATGTGACTCCAGACCCACAGCAATGTGGTTGACTCAACTGCCATCTGGGCAATTACGGATGGGCAACAAATGCTGCTTAGCCAGTGATGCCCTCGTCCTGTGAATGAATAAAGGGAAAAAAATGAATGGCTGCTTTTGGGAACTCTTACTGGCTAACAATGGGTAGTGTTTATTAGCAGACCATGTGATAGCAAGGCCTGGTATGTGGGGTTAAAATCCCCTACGTCTGCTGAGTATTTCCAGAATCAAATTTTCAACACCCACAATATTTTCAGTTTTTGTCATATGCCCCAGGATGTCGTGCAACATTTTACTATGCAACTAAAATTTGCTTAGTTTTCTGCTGGTCAACTGAATTGAAAGTCCTACCGATTCCTCTGCACCCATAAGACATGTTAGGACAAATAGACTTATAACTATAAGATCAAACTTTTGATGTATGGTTTTCATTTTAGTCATTTTCAGACACTGTACTGCAGAAAACTGTAAGCAAGGCAACAGTGACTGACTTTAAACTCCATTATTTTTCTGTGTAATCAGTCTTGCAGTGTAAAACTGTGCCCTAATAATATGCATTTTCATTGTTTTGTAGAACAAGCCAAAGATAATAATAGATGCTCCTACAGAGGTAGCTTCTCCAGATGAAGGTATACTTGTTCATAAGACTAATTTAGAAATCTATCAAGTTCAGATAGAGACGTATGCCTTGATATTAATAATGAATGTATTCTTACTTTCAAATTATAGCTTTCTGACTACCATTTTATCAAATATAGTTAAACTGTGTCGGCTTAAATCCTGCAGTAAGGCAGTTGAAAAAATGTCATGCTAAAGTGTTACTGTCTTCATGGAGAGTGTGTAATTTCAAGACATAAGCTTTATTATAACCATGGAAGCTTTCAGAAGTAGTGACCAGTGTAAGCTAGCATCAGTTCTTTGATTTTTAAGTTTGCTGTGCAGATGTAAGTCGACCCTTTCGAAATGTCTTTGCTACATTAGACTTCAGGAGGAAATTCAATATAAATTATGAATAAAAAGGATTATTTTGAACTGCGCCAGCAAGATGTGAACAAAAGCATCCAAAACTTCACAATCCAGTGAATTTTTAAAATAAGAATTTCAACAAGTGATAAGACAGTTGACAAAAATGTGCTGAGAATTGAAATAGCTTCATATCAGGAAGACTGGGAGTGAGTCAGAGTCTTGCCAGTTCCGCCTGGATACAATGCATGACTCCACTGAAACATAGTGAAATAAAGCAATAACTGTTTTACACAGCTTGGATTCACTGGACACAAAACGTTCAAATGTTTGACTTCAGATTATTAAGTATTTTCCAAATTTTCATGCTTTCAAATGGAAGTCATAGAGCCATAAGAGTAATACAGCATGGAAACGGGCCCTTCGGCCCAAACTGGTCCATGCTGACTGTGGTGCCACTCAGCTGGTTCCAATTGCCCGCATTTGGTCCATGTCCCTCTAAACCCTTCTCATCTGTGCACCTATCCAAATGTTTTTTTAAATGTTTCTATTGTACCTGCCTCAACCACTTTCTCTGGCAGCCCATTCCATATACGCACCACTCTCTGCGTGAAGAAGTTGCCCTTCCATTCCTTCTTAAATCTTTCCCCTCTCACCTTAAACCTATGCCCTCTAGTTTTCAATTCTCCTTCCCTGGGTAAAGGACTATATGCAGTCATCCTATCTATGCTACTTATGATTTTATACACCTCAGTAAGGTCATCCCTCATTCTCCTATGTTCCAGCGAATAAAGTCCTATCCTGGCCAACCTCTCCCTATAACTCAGGCCTACTAGAACTGGCAACATCCTTGTAAATCTTCTTTGCACACTTTCCAGTTTAACGATGTCTTTCCTATAACAGAATGACCAAAACTGTACACAATACTCCAAGTGCGGCCTCACCAACAACATATACAACTGTAATACAATGTCCCAACTCCTACACTCAATGCCTCAACTGATGAAGACCAGCATGCTAAATGCCTTCTTCATTACCCTGTCTACCTATGATGCTGCTTTCAATGAACTATATACTTGTGCTCCTAAGTCCCTCTGTTCCACAACACTCCTCAGGACATTACCATTTACCACATAAGTCCTACCTTGGTTTGACTTTCCAAAGTGCAACACCTCACACTTACATGTGTTCAATTGCATTTGCCAATCCTTAGCCCACTTCCCCATCTGATCAAGATCCCTCTGTAATTTTTCATAACCTTCTTCGCTTTCAACGACACCTCCTAATTTTGTATCATCCACAAACTTACTAATCATGCCTTGCACATTCACGTCAGATCATTTATGCAAATAACAAATAACAAAGATCCCAGCACTGATCCTTGTGGCACACCACTAGTCACAGGCCTCCAGTGCGAGAAACAACTTTCAACAGCCACCCTCTGCTTCCTATCATCCAGCCAAGTTTGAATCCAATTAGATAGTTCTCCCCAGATCCCATGCGACCTAACCTTCATGACTAGCCAGCCGTGTGGGACCTTGCCAAAGGCTTTATTAAAGTCCATATGGACAATATCCACTGCCTTGCCGTTATCTATCCTCTTGGTTACCTCTTCGAAAAATTCTAAAAGATTTGTCAGACATGACCTGCACACAAATCCATGCTGACTATCCCTAAATCAGACCTTGACTATTCAAATGTTGGTTGATCCTGTGTCTCTCCAATAACTTGCCTACCACTGATATCAAGCTCACTAGCCTGTAGTTCCCTTGCTTGTCTTTGCTACCTTTCTTAAGCAATGGAACAACATTAGCCAACCTCCAGTCTTCTGGAACTTCATCAGTGGCTAAAGATGAAGCAAAAATCTCTGCAAAGGCCTCTGCAATTTCTTCCCTAGCCTCCCACAATGTCCGAGGATGGACTTGATCAAGCCTAGGGGATTTATCCATCTTAATGCGCTTTAAGGCTGCAAATACCTCCTCTTGTAATATGTATGCGGTCCAAAACATCCCCACTCGATTCACTTATTTCCTTAGCATCCATGATTCTCTCCACAGTAAACACTGAGGAGAAATATTCATTAAAAATCTCCCCCATCTCCTATGGTTCCACACATAGATGGCCATGCTGATCTTTAAGGGGACATATTCTCTCCCTAACCACCCTGTTACGATTAAAAAAGCTGTAGAAGCTCTTGGGATTCTCTTTAACCTTATCTGCCAGATCCATCTCATACCCTCTTTTTGCTCTTCTGATTTCCCTCTTTTAAGTGTGTTCCTATGCTTTTTATAGTCATCTAGGGATTCACGAGCCAAAAAATTAGATTTTTGCAGTGTATTCCTTAAGAGACTATGCGTGTGGAGCTTTCAATCTGCACAGCAGCTCCAGTGACCCATCACAATGTTATTATTTATGTGCAAACGTTGTTGGCCTTTTTATGGCTCTTATTGCAGTTGCCGTTACCCAATCTGAAATGAGTGAAGACATTCATGGAGATATTCTGGATGAAAGTGAAAGGAATGAAAGCATGAGAGAAGAAGCTTCAGACCTGTCAGTCACTCCTAATAGTGTAAGATCATGTGATGACGAGAAGAGTCACTGTTAAACCAGGTGGTCCTTTTTTGTGCTGGTGTCTTGGCTGTAAGCTGTTGTAACTATTCATGGGGCTGGATGTTTACATGTCTATGTTTACATAGACTTGATGCTGACTTCCACCCCTATATGTAGAGGGAGGCACGCCTCCATGAACTGCCAGGCAATGAAATGGCTGTCAGCTCTCTCATCCTGCAGTGCCACCTGGAATGCTGGCCACTCCTGGGACCACATTCAGGTTACAATGGCAATTTTTAGTAGAGCCACCTTGACAGATGCTAGACTGGCAGTCCCCTATGAGGGTGGATAATGTACAGTGCTGGAGTGAAAAAGGCAGGGGGGAGGGTAGAAAAGTGCAGCCTTGGGGAGACCATGTTTGATGTCCTGTGATGAGCACAGGGAGGTGCAAAGAAAGCACCTCCTACCTTGCTTGTTTTACAAGACCAAACATTGAATGCAACTAGGCTTCACACTTAACGTCATCATTCACTGGTCAGGGATAAAATCTCAGCAGTGTTGGGAGAAATCCCCTTAACAGTAAATAGCATATCGGAGGATGGGTCTTCCAATGCCCCTCACCTGCCTACCAAGCCACCCCAGGGTGCTGGGGGGTCATGGGGGTAGCAGAGACAAACATTCCACCATGTTGTGTTCTGCTATTCCCACCTTTGTTTTTATTCATTCATGAGATTTATTGCCCCTAATTGCCTAAGAGTAACCACATCACTGTTGATCTGGGTCACATTTAGGCCAGATCAGGCAAGGATGGCAGTTTCCTTCCCTAAAGAACATTTGCGACCCAGTTGGGGGTTTTCCTGACAATCGACAATGGATGCATGGTCATCATTTGACTCTTAATTCAGATTTTTTTTTTAGTTGAATTCAAATTCCACCATCTGCCGTGGCAGGATTCTGGGTCATTATTTGGGTCTCTGGATTAACAGTCCAGGGATAATACCACTAGGCCATCACCTCCCCATACCTGACAGGCATTCACATGTCTCTAGTAGCAGTGAGGTTATTTACAATACATTTGCAGTTGCAAGGGACTGTGAGGTATTGATACTTAATCTTTGCCACACAATGCTACAATGATGAAAGCCAAAGTGAACTAAACCACAGCCATCACACCTTGGCTTGTAATAATTGTGTTTCTTATATACTTTTAAAATCATTCATTTTAAACAGTTGCCATCTTCATACAAAAATCTTGGCAAAATTTAATTTGCTTGGTCCCTAATGACATGAAAAGTATCTTCCTATTTCATCACCAAATATTGTTCTTCTCCCCAAACAAAAAAGTTTACCCAAAACTGTAACCTAACAGTACCTCTTTAAAGAGGATCCTTTTTAAAATTCATTTGTGGGATGTGACACCACTGGCCAGGCTAGTATTTATTGCTCATCCCTAATTGCCCAGAGGGCATTTGGGAGTCAACCTCATTCCTGTGCATCTGGAGTCACATATAAGCCAGGCCTGGTAAAGATAGCAAATTCCCTTCCAGAAAGGATGTTTGTGAACCAGATGGGTTTTGCCTGACAATCAGCAATGGTGTCACAGTCATTATTAGACTTAAAATTCCAAATTTTTAAAATTAAATTCCTGGATCCCCAGAACATTATCTGGGTCTCTGGATTATTTGATTGAGTGATAATGCCACTAGGCTATCGCCTTCCCTAATATTACCTACTCTCCCATGATATCGTAAATTTCATTGTAATATAAGTCACTGTCATTATTTACTATTCTAGGAGGAAGGAGCAGAACTTTCAGGTCAAGAAACAAGCTCTCATATTCAAGGTGTGTATTTTAAACTGAAATAATTCTTATCACGAAACTTCTATACAGTTTAGACTTTAAGTAATAATAATAAATTCATATTTATTATTGTGCCTCAAATCATCCTTCAAACAATACTTGTTGCTTTCTGAATATGTACAGAAGTAAATTAGACTCTGGATTTCCAATCTGAAAAAAGAATGTACTTCAGACCTTCTTTATTTTTCATTTCCTTTTGGATTTTTATTGGAATGAACATTTTTATGCATATGAAATAAGTACTTCTTGCAAATTTTATGCAAGTTGGCATAATGAATGTACTGAAGCAAGAGAGCTAAATTAATCAACACATTTAACTTGAGCCAGTCACTGAAGCAGCCAAGTTTAATGACTGTTCAGTAGTGTTCAATCAATGTTTGCCTATCATTTGATCTCACAAATCCTCCCATCGTCTCAAATTCATTTGCCAGAAAGTCAGAATGAGTGTTAAACTTATATTCTTAATATAAAGTATTGAATATAGAGTATTAGTTTCTTTGTTTCACCCCATTTTCTTGATTCTTCATCTGAAAATGTTTACCATTGCTGGTATCACATTCAAGCTTATATGGTACATGTCTGTAGGTTTGGACTGCTGGGATCGCAGCCATAGTCTCTGACTATGTCCACATGCAAAAATATCCCAACAGGTGCCATTAGATTATATGTGTAATAAAATACAGTGAAAATTGGGAGATTCAATTAGTTGTTCAATGAGAAAGGGCGAATTAATTATCCTATTGCAAAGGAGCCGCTAGGGAGGAGATAAAAGAATTTTGCATTCAGTTTGAAACTGATGTAATTTAATCTAAACTAAGGTCTTCAATCTAAATAAAGGAAATTATGAGGGGGTAAATTAGCATTGGAAGATTGGGGAACTCCATGAAAAGGTATGAACATAGACAGATAATGCCTAGTATTTAAAGAATTCATACTTGGTTTATAACAAATTTACATTCATTTGAGGCACAAAACCCCAGCAAGGCAACCCAGCCAATCATAGCTAATGTGTCAAGGTAAAAACTGTATTAGATTCAAGGAAGGCTGTTATAAAGTTGCCAAGGTAGTAGTAAGCCTGAGGATTGGAAGCATTTTAGAATCCAGCTAAAAAGGACTACAACTGATAAAGAAGGACAAAATAGAATATGAAAATAATCTAGCTAGAAACATAAAAATGGACTGTAATAACAGCTATAGGTACAGTATATAAAAAGGAAAAGATTACCAAAGACAAATGTGGAACCACTACAAGCAGAAACAGGAGAATTGTTCAATGGGAATAAGGAAATAGCTGAAAAACTAAATAAATATGTTAAGTTTTGCTCCCAGGCCAGGTGCGCAAAGACAGGAAACTTCCTTGCTCTGTGAACATGACCATTAAAAAAGGCTGACTGCACTCCTCATTTTTGGTTTAGGATGCAGGCGGGATTGGAAGTGTTGTCCAGGTGACCTGAAAAGAGCTGAGGATGCTGCCAGTTGATGAGGTGGGCTAGATAGAAAGCCTGCTTTGATGCTGCAAATTCAGCTCCATCCATACCAATCAGTACCAGTAATTGTCCTCTGTGCATTGTGCCCATGTCCCGTTATACTTTTTGTGCTACCCTATACTCCTCTATCTATTTTCTGTTGTGTTTCATAACCTTAAGACACTCCACCCATCCCCCATGTCCTCACACCAACTGCTGCCCTTGTATTCCCCCATGGCAACTTAGTACCAATGTCCGCCAACCAATAGTTCCAGTCACTTCCCTTTCCCCCATCACCTTTTTTTCATTCATTCATGGAATGACGGCATCTCTGGCTAGGCCAGCATTTATTGTCCATCCCTAATTGCTGGGGTGGCAGTTGAGTCAACCACTTTGCTGTGGGTCTGAAGTCGTGCGTAGGCCAGACCATTGGTGAACCAGGTGGATTTTTCCGAAAATCAACAGTTAATTTATAGTAATGATTAGACTCTTAATTCAAATTCCATTATCCATTGTGGCAGGGTTCAAACCCAGGTCCCCAGAACATTACTTGGGCCTCTGAATTAACAGTCCAGCAATAATACCACTAGACCATTATCACCCACCTACCATTCAATTCACCTACTATTAGTTAATACAATGCACAGAGGAGAATAAAATAAAACTTTACCACTTTACATCCAAACTGCAGCCAACATTCTTCAGAAAAACACTCATTCATAAATGCACATTTTGATAATTCTTAACAGGTTTGACATGTCATTGCAGTTTGACACTTCTTGGCAAATACGACAGTTCTTTGACAGCTTACCAGTTCTTGACAGCTCTGAGAGTTGTTAATAGGTTTGTCACTTCTTTGATAACTTAATAGTTCCTCCTCCTCATACCTCCTTCCCCCACCCCAACCTCCCCTCCACCGCACCCCTTCCAAAGGTAACTGATCTCCCAAAGCATTTCAAACCACCAAAAAGTATCTCACTGCACCGTCTGTAAATATGTTCCAGGACTACATCCAATAGGGTACCTTACATCTTCATACAAATCCATAGCATTCAAACCTACTCTCAACAGATCTAATGTGCATTCTCTTGGTTCTGTGTTACAAGAATTCAGTTCCAAAGTCCTGCATCAATGTGGCAACTGGAGATTTTAATTGGCCAGATGTCTCTATGAAACCGAGCCTCTCACCATTCCATCCTTGGAAAATGGGAAATGCTGCGAGAGGGGAATTTGTGGTTTTCAGGCCATTCCTGCCATTTTGCCATGACTGACAGTCCGTCTATCATGCTGTAAATTTGGGCCCTTGTGGCCTTTGGCCTTTATTTCAAGTAGATTTTAATATAGGAGTAAAGATATATTAATGGCAATCACATGTGGACTTTGAGAGACTACACGAGGAGCATTGTGTGCAGTTTTGGCCAGCTTACTGAAAGAAAGATGTACATGCCATGGAGGCAATGCAACATCATTTCACCAAACTAATTCCTGAGAGGGCGGGAATAAATAGACTGGGCCTACTATATTCTCCAGAGTTTAGAAGGATGAGAGGTAATCTCATTTAAACATACAATATTCTTAGAAATCAACAAGGTAGATGCAAGAAGGATGTTTTCCTTGGCAGGGAGTTAAGATATAGAATGAGGTGGGAACAGACCCAAAATAAGAGATAGACCATTTAGGATTAAGATGACAACAAATTTTATTCACTGAGAGAGTGGTAACAGTTTGGATTCTCCACCCCAGAGGGGTGTGGAGGCTCAGTCATTGAGTATATTCAAGACAGAGATTGATATATTTCCATATATGAAAGATATAAAACGTTTTAAGGGAAAGTGTAGGAAAGTGGCTTTGAGGTAGCTGATTAGCCATGATCTAATTAAATAGTAGATCAGCTTTTAGAGGGTGAATGGATTGCTCCTGGTCCCTTTTCCTATGTTGCTTTGCAGATTTGTATCCATTACCTCTTGTGTTTCTAACTCTGCTTTAGGCATCAGCATCGAAAGTATCCCCAAACAGGACGAAACTGAGGAAAGTAGAAATACCAGCGATTGGTCAGAGCAGGAGTTATCACTTTATACAAGCCAGCACTTATCTGAGGAAGCGTCTGAGGAGAAGATGGGGTCAATCTCCCCCAAGGAACAAAGTGTAAGATCAAAGAGAGGACTTGAATCATAAGTTTCTGGTATTACCCATTGGTATTTAATGTTCCTTAGATCCAAAATGTGAGCTGACTTTTATACTATATTCATAGCAGGGCAGCTTTGGCGCTGAATTAGCCTTCACAAGTACATTTATTGATGGGAATAAGTAATTAAAGACCTAATGTATTTCAACTCTACATGCAAGCTAGTGGATTTGCTTGTGTGGCATACAGCCTGCACACTAAACTGAGGTTGCTTCCTAAATGAAATCCCTGCACAAATTGAACTAGAGATTAAATATATTTTTCTCCACACACTGTGACAGATTGGTGGAACAGGCTCCCAGCAAAACATTTAAAATTTAATAATTTTTTTTCAACCTTTGCAAGATACCTGCTTCACAGCAAGGCTCTGGGTTATGGGATAGATATAGGATTGTGATTTCTTTCAAGTTGCTCTTGCTTCAACTTCTGCTCCACTGGCATAACTTCTTTGGAAGTGTTGCAGGAAAGTTTAATTGCACTTGCTCATAGATTTCAGATGAGCGTGAGGAGTTTTTTTGAGGTCCTGAGTCAACGGAGCACCTTGGTAGCTGTCAGCCCATTGTGTTCTTTGAAGAGGATGTTTTCCATGTGGACATGTGGAAGTTCAATGTGTGTTCATACAAGAAACCGATTGAGATATCTTGGTCTCAGTGTCATAGAGTTACAGAAATAGAGTTATACAGCACAGAAGCAGACCCTTCAGTCCAATTAGTCCATGCCAACCATTTTCCCAAATTAAACTAGTCCCACCTGCCTGTAATTGGCCCATATCCCTACAAACCTTTCCTATTCATGAACTTATCCAAATGTCTTTTAAATGTTATAACGGTACCTGCATCCACCACTTTCTCTGGCTGTTCATTCCACACATGACCCACCCTCCATGTTAAAAAAGTTGCCCCTCATGTCCTTTTTAAGTCTTTCTCCTTTCACCTTAAAAATATGCCCCCTAGTTTTGAACTCCCCCACCCTAGGGAAAAGACTCTTGTCATTCACCTTATCTATGCCTTCATGATTTTTTAAACCTCAATCAGGTCACCCCTCAAACTCCGAGGTTCCAGTGAAAAACGCCCCAGCCTTTCCAGTCTATTTTTATATCTCAAACCCCCAGAGATAATCTTCATGACTTCCTGAAGGATATCTACCATGTTTGTATGGTGGCTCCTGAGCTAGGTTGAGCAGTGGCACTCTGCTGTTGGGTAGACCTAGCAAGTGAGGCAGTGCATGGTGTATTGGCATTGCTGCTTTAGATTGTACCACCAAATTCTATATGACATTTACTCTTGTCTTGACCAATTAGCTCTGGTGCTGTGGAGATGTTACCTGTTAGTCCATGTATGGTCAAATATGATGCCAATCTATTAAGTGCCCAGAATATCAACTGATTTCCGCATCTTACTATTCAACCTTGCGATTTTGGAATTCACAGATGTGCCACACTTAACCAGCCTCAGCAGTCCAGCACGTGAGTAAACACTCCATTATAGCTGTTGACTTCCACTTCATCAGTGAGATGTCACTGAATGTACACTGAAAACAAGATTGTTTTTATCATATGGCTGAAGAAGCAGTTTCATTCTGATGTCAGGGTTAACCATCCACCCAACATCTCAAATTGTGTTTGTGGCCATCCAAGTCAGACAATCACCCATATACTGATCTCTGCCCTGTGGCATCACAACCATTCACACTACATCAGCTAAAGCCATTGATGGTTAAACCCAATGTCAAGTTACACCTTCTGCTCCAACTAGACGAATAAAACTTTTTTCTAGTGTGTTCAGTATATATCCATTGAAGTCCTTAAGTGGGAGCAGCTCCAAGGAAATTAACAGCCAATATGGAGATGTCTACATTGGCTAAACTGCTGGGGCAGGAAAGTGAATGTGAAGGCTGACAGTGTGGGGTCAGATATGTGTTTCAGGATGCCTACCTAGTGAAGTTCAGAAAATCAGGAAGTATATTCTGAAACTCTGCATAATTAACTTGGGGAAATTGGAGTAATGGGCAGAAACCTGTGGAGGTGAAAGGGTTTAAATGTAGAGCTGGCCAGATGCTGCATGTTGCCCCTTTTCAAGAAGGTCTGCTGAATGCACTTGGCAGGACAGTAGTGGTCTTCCCAAAAGATCAAAGACCCCAAGGTGGAAGATCCACCCACCAAGCATTGCTGGTCGATCAGAGGCTGGTAGGTCTTCCATGCACTGTTGTGCCACCAGAAAGTCATGGAAAGCCTCAGGCATACTGCTGGACACCACGTGCCCCCTCTTAAAAGAAAACCTACAAGGATATAATCACAGAGGAGAGGCAGGCAGGCAGGCTTGGTGACCCTCAACAATCCGCTGCTTGGACCAGTTTATGACCAACTTGTCCATAGGCACAGGAGCAGACCAATGAGGAGGTCTTTAAATTTGCTTGCCCCTCTCTGCGCCATACTCCTATGTATAAAAATGTTCAATCAAATTGTTTGGATGTAGTATGGCACATCTCTGTGACCATCACATCTCAAGATGGGACTTGAACCCAGTCCTTCTGTCCTCATGTTGGGACACCACCAATGTGCCACAAGAGCATTCAAACTTACAACCAACAGCACTTGTATATATGTCTTTTATATTCAGTAGTACTTACATGCACAGCTGAATGTTTTTTTTCTCACCGCCTATGTATGGGATCGCAAGTTAATTAATTCTGCCACCTGAGTAAAATTAAAGACTGAATTGCAATATAATTAGAATTGTTTTTCTAATCTTGAAAACCTTTTAAAATGGTCACATGTTGTTGTAAAACTGATGCTTCAAGGCTATCTGCATTGCAGCATATTAGATATTTGTCAAAATGAAGTTCTGCCCACTCAATTCCATAATTGAGCAATCACCTTCTCGGGTTATGCCAGTACTTAATTGTTCTGCCCTTAATATATTTGTAAGGTCAGCGCCAGCACCTCCACATCAATATAATTGTAGAAATCAGTAATAACATAAGAGGTTACAGCTTATGCACTACCCCTGAAAGTAGTGAGCTCATTTGCTATAATATAGCAGTAGACCATGTTTATTAAGGATTTTCATCTAGAGTTTTTCCTCTCTGACTCCAGTAATATTAACCCTCGGACAACTTCATACACATGCAAGCCTCTTCAAGGGAGGTTTGCCAATCTGTTCAAGTGTGGAGAGCATCACAGCTGAACCTCTGGTGTGTGCACCTAAATAACCTTCTGCAGGAACTTGGGAAAGGTCAGGAGCAGTAGCTCAGCCTAACTTTCCCCTCTCTTAAATATTGGTGATGAGAACTATTGCGCTCCATCTGATTTCGTACTGGTGCCTGCAAACATCTGATCGTTAAGCGAGCTGGTTGTTGTCACGTAGGTATTTCTGGAGATTTCCTCGCATGATCTGATGAGTTGACCAACACATCCAACATTGCATCTCACACAAATTGGAAAGCAAAAAAAGCTCATTACCCAATTGAATGATGCTTGACTATTACCCAAAAGGTCTTTCATTTTCCATTTTTGTTATTTTTATGCCCAGCAAAGAAATACAAAATAATAGAATTATACAGTGCCTAAGAGGCCTTGCTGCCCATTGAATCTGCACCGACAAAAAGCTACTCTGAATCTACAATAGTCCCACTTTCCAAGTGGCCCATTACCTTGGATGCTATGACATTTCATTTGCTCAAAGAAAATGCTTTAAAGAAAATGTCAAAATAATCAGTCTTTTTTAATGTCCTGTTGATTTTTCTCCAGGGTTGCACACAGCAGTATCTTGGAAATTCCCCAGTAATTGAAAACTCAGGGCCAATCCTGTAGGGGTGGCAACCCTACTATCAAGAGTTTTCATTCGACTGTGGAGGATTTATGTTGCAGTTTCAGTCATGTTTGGTCCTGATGAACATTTCTGCATCCTGAAGCATAATGCAATAGAAATTTCCTTTTATTTTCTCTAGGGTGCTTTGGAAGAAACAGATCATGGCAAAATGTCCACTAAATTTGAGTATTTCAAAACCTCAAAGGGGAACATCTACACAGTGATGTTGGACAAAAAAGGCAGAAGCAGTATGAATGTGATCTCTTTCCTGGCAGAAACTGAAGAACAGAAGCATCTTCAAGACTACATGAAACATGCATTCCTCCCTGAAGCAACATTTCTGGATTTAAAGAAAAAGTTAGTGGGGGAAGTGTCTCTCTATGTCATCTTTATGGCTTTATTATTCAGTTATAAAAGGAATATAGAAGAAAAAAGAAATACTTTGCATTTTTATAACACTTTTCTATTCATCAAGATATCCCCAAGCTCATGGCATGTGGGTGTCGCTGGGTGGTCCAGCATTTATTGCCGGTCCCTAGTTAGAACATAGAAAGGATTAGTTTAATTTGGCATCATGTTCAGCATGGGAACGGGCCCTTCAGTCCACGATGTTGTGCCGATCATGGTGCCAAATTAAACTAATCCTTTCTACCTGCTGTTGGTTCATATCCCTCCATTCCTTTCATTTTCATGCGATTACCTGAAAGTCCCTTAAATGCCCCTATCATATCTGCCTCCACCACCACCCCTGGCAGCAAATTCCAGACGCCAAACACTTTCTGTGTAGAAAAGTTGCCCTTCACATTTCCTTTCAACTTTCCCCCCTCTCACCTTAAATGCATGCCCCGTAGTATTAGACATTACAACTCTGGGAAAAAGATTCTGACTGTCAACCCTATCTAGGCATCTCATAATTTTATAGCTTTCAATCAAATCTCCCCTTAGCCTCCGCTGCCCTTGAGAAGGTGGTGATGAGCTGCCTTCTTGAACTGTTGCAATCCATGTGCTGTACGTAGACTCACAATACCATTAGGGAGGGAATTCCAGGATTTTGATCCAGTGACACCAAAGGAACAGCAATATTTTCCAAATCAGGATGGTGGGTGCCTTTGAGGAGAACTTGCAGACAGTGGTGTTCCCATGTATTTGCTGACCTTGTCCTTCTAAATGTTAACAGTCGTGGGTTTGAAAGGTGCTATCTGAAGAGCCTTTGTGAATGTTTTCAGTGTATATTGTAGATGGTTCACAATCTGCTGCTGAGCATTGGTGATGGAGGGAGTGGATATTTGTGGATGTAATGCTGATCAAGCAGGCTGTTTTGTCTTGGATGGTGTCAATCTTCTTGAGGGTTGTTGAAGATGCACCCATTTGGGCAAATGGGGAGTAGTCCATCATCCTCCTGACTTATGCCTTGTAGATAGTGGACAGGTTTTGGGGAGTCAGGAGGTGAGTCACATGCTGCAGTACTTCTAGCCTCTGACCTGCTTATGTAGCCACTGTATTTATTTAATGAGTCAAGTCGCGATTCTGGTCAATGGTAAGTCCCAGGATGTTGAGAGTAGGGGACTCAGTGATTGTAATGCCATTGAATATTCAAGGGTTGTTGATTAGATTGTTTCTTATTGCATTTGAGTGTTGTGAATGCTACTTGACACTTTCGGCTCAAGCCTGGATATTGTCCAGTCTTGCTGTATTTGAACATGGATTGCTTCAGTATCTGAGGAGCTGCAAATAGTGCTGAACATTGTGCAATCATCGGTGAACATCCTCACTTCTGACCTTAAAGTGGAGGGAAGGTCATTGATGAAACAGCTGAAAATGGTTGGGCCTAGCACACTACCCTGAGGAACTCCTGCAGCGATGTCCTGGAGTTGAGATGACTGACCTCCAACAGCCACAACCACCATTCATTGTGCCAGGTATGACTCTACCAGCAGTGAGTTTGCCCACTGATTCCCATTGACTACAGTTTCACTAGGGCTCCTTGATGCCATACTTGGTCAAATGCAGCCTTGATGTCAGGGGCTGTCACTCTCACCTCACCTCTGTAATTCAGATCTTTTGTCCATGTTTGAATCAAGGTTGTAATGAGGTCAAGAGGTGAGTGACCTTGGCAGAACTCAAACTGGGCATCACTGAGGAGGTTATTACTAAATGGGTGCTGCTTGATAGCCCAGTTGATGACACCTTTGATCATTTTACTAATGATCTGATACTAATGGGACATTAATTGACTCTGTTAGATTTGTCCTGCTTTTTGTGTAATTTTCCACATCGCCGGGTAGATACTAGTATTGTAAATGCACTGAAAAGCATACTGGTAATTATTTTTGAAATTGCAATTACTCTCGTTTTATAATCTAGGCAACCCAACACTGAACAGCAAGATCCCATTAAGCCATTTGAGATTATCCAGTTAATGGTTTCTTTTAGTGATATTGGTTAGACATATTGGTTGGGGATGAACATCAGCCACCGTTTTGGAGCAATCTTCCCACTTGTCTATGAATTGTTCTTTTGGAGGTGCTACAATTGATCTCAATACCCCTATTCTACAGAGAGAAAATTGCTTCAGCCACTCTTGACCCCAATTTTTGACCCTATGCTGGAATTTGTAAGCAGGCATAGTTGTCAGATAAGGCCAGGTTTGCATGGGTTTTGGCGCCATGAGTCCACACTCAGTACGTTAAGTGTCTGGTAAGGAATGACTAAAACAGAGAATGTTGAAGGGACTGAGCAGGTAAGGCATCATCTGTGGAGAGAAAGAGTTAACATTTCAAGTCCAGTATGATTCTTTCCAAGGAATAACTATTTTTTTCTGCCAGTGCCTGTGAACCAACATGCTTTGTAAATGAATACCTGTCAACGATGAAAGGAGAAAATTGGTGGGGTGGGGTGCTGGTTTGATATTGGAATGTAGGTATTGCAAAAAAGGAAAATAAGCAGAATTTTTTTTTATTCATTCATGAGATGTGGGTTTCGCTGGCTAGCCCAGCATTAATTGGCCATCCCTAATTGCCCACCAGGTAGTTAAGAGTCTAAAGCACATTGTTTTGGGTCTGGAGTCACATGTAGGCTAGACCAAATAAGGATGGCAGATTTCCTTCCCTAAAGGACATTGATGAACCACATGGATGTTTCCTGATAATCGGAAATCATTACCTTTAAACTCTTATCTCCAGATTATTGTTGAATTCAAATCCACCATCTGCCATGATGGGATTCAAACCCAGGTTCCCAGAGCATTCTCTGAGTCTCTGGATTAATAGTCTGGTAATAATATCACTTGACCACCACCTACTATATTGCTCTATTGATACAGAAATTATATTGTAAGGACCTCTATGGCTTCAATTTTAATTGGTGTTAAGTTATGCCAACAATGCATTTCTTTTTAACTATCAGTTATTTGATTATGGACATTACTATCCAAAATATCAGCTCAATAGCTTGGAGTGGTACTGAGGGGTGATAGTGAGGAGTGGAAATGGCATTGCTTGTGCTGGAATGTAGAGCACAGTAGTCATAAGATGAATCAATTGGATGTGAAGAGTTATAGGCCCTGGAGAGCTGTAGGGACTTGGCAGCTTCAGTGTGCCTGGAATGTGACAGTTTGATGTCACTGTTCTGAGATTTTCTTTCCCCAGGTCCATTTTCCAGTCATAAAGGGAGGAGACAAAAGAATCAGAATATTTATTTAAAATGTAAGGATTTCCTTTTGTTAAGTGGGGACTGCATCAAGAAGAGAACTAGCCAAATACAGAATCATCCCTGCTTGTCAGCCCACATTGTCCTGTCTCATCTATCAGAATGATGCTAATGTATTACTGGAGATAAACTATCAGAGTTGAGCGGGTGAATCATTTTGCTTGAAAATCTCTGGTTACAGTAAAATTCAAGACCCAGGCTTTTCTTTTGAATAAACCATGACCAATTCTCCCATGTTACCAATCAAGGCAAGATCCAGGCTTCCGACACAGAGAAAAATACTTTAGTTTAATTTAAAATGGTGCAACTAGGGCTCCATAATGATGTTGGTGAAAGCATTGATCTGTGTGAGTCATATGGACAAGAAACTACTGGGTTCTATTCCTGTTCTAAATATTTTGTCTTTCAACCTGTTATGACGCATCTCTGTAGTAGGTGGTGTTTGAACCCAGGCCTCCTGGCTCAGAGTAGAGATACTACTGCTGCACTACAAGAACTCTCTATTTCTGTTCTAATTTTAATGAAGACACTTGCAACAACTAAATTATTTATGTGTGTAAGCTAATGCTTTTATTGTGCTTGTTTAATTTTTTGGCCAAAATAGTTATTGTTACCTTTTTTCTGAGGTCACTATTTTAAAATAAAATTCCAAGCATATTTGGAGTTTTTTTTTCTATTCATTTTGTGGGATGTATGCGCCGCTCGCTGGCCAGCATTTCTTGCCCATCCCTCGTTGCCCTTGAGATGGTGGTGGTGAGCTGCCTTCTTGAAGCGCTGCAGTCCATGTGCTGTGGGTTGACCTACAATGCTATTATGGAGGGAATTCCAGGATTTTGACCCAGCGACAGTGAAGGAACGGCGATATGTTTCCAAGTCAGGATGGTGAGTGACTTGGAGGGGAATTTGGAGGTGGTGGTGTTCCCATATATCTGCTGCCCTTGTCCTTCTAGACGGAAGTGATCGTGGGTTTGGAAGGTGCTGTCTGAGGATCTTTGCTGAATTTCTGCAGTGCATCTTGCAGATAGTACACACTGCTGCTACTGAGCGTCGGTGGTGGAGGGAATAATGCTTGTGGATGTAGTGCCAATCAAACGGGCTGCTTTGTCCTGGATGGTGTCAAGCTTCTTGAGTGTTGTTGGGGCTGCACTCATCCAGGCAAGTGGGAAGTATTCCATCACACTCCTGACTTGTGCCTTGTAGATGGTGGACAGGCTTTGAGGAGTCAGGAGATGAGTTACTCGCCACAGTATTCCCAGCTTCTAGTCTGCTCTTGTAGCAACTCTGTTAATGTGGTGAGTCGAGTTGAGTTTCTGGTCAATGGTAACCCCCAGGATGTTGATAGTGGGGGATTCAGTGATGGTAACACCATTGAATGTCAAGGGGCGGTGGTTAGATTGTCTCTTATTGGTGATGGTCATAGCCTGGCATTTGTGTGGCACAAATGTCACTTGCCACTTGTAAGCTCAAACCTGGATATTGTCCAGAACTGATTCATGTGAACATGGACTGTTTCATTATCTGAGGAGCCACGAATGGTGCTGAACATTGTGCAATCATCGGTGAACATCCCCCCCTCCTCTGTCCTTATGATGGAGGGAAGGTCATTGATGAAGCAGCTGAAGATGGCTGGGCCTAGGACACAACCCTGAGGAACTCCTGCAGAGATGTCCTGGAGCTGAGATGATTGACCTCCAACAATCACGACCATCTTCCTATGTGTCAGGTATGACTGCAACCACCGGAGCGTTTGCCCCCATACCCATTGATTCCAGTTTTGCGAGGTCTCCATGATGCCACACTCGGTTGAATGCCGCCTTGATATCAACAGCTGTCACTCTGACCTCACCTCTGGAATTCAGCTCTTTTGTCCATGTTTGAACCAAGGCTGTAATGAGATCAGGAGCTGAGTGGCCCTGGCGGAACCCAAATTGGGTGTCACTGAGCAGGTTATTGCTGAGCAGGTGCTGCTTGATAGCACTGTTGAATACACCTTCCATCAGTTTACTGATGATTGAGAGGAGACTGATGGGGCGGTAATTGGCCGGGTTGGATTTGTCCTGCTTTTTTATGTATAGGACATACTTGGGCAATTTTCCACATTGTCGGGTGGATACCAGTGCTGTACCTGTACTGGAACAGCTTGGCGAGGGGAGCGGAAAGTTCTGGAGCACAAGTCTTCAGTACAATTGCCGGAATGTCAGGGCCCATAGCCTTTGCAGTATCCAGTGTCTCCAACCGTTTCTTGATATCACATGGAGTGAATCGAATTGGCTGAAGACTGGTATCTGTAATGCTGGGGCCCACTAGAGGAGGCCGAGATGGATCGTCCACTCGGCACTTCTGGCTGAAGATTGCTGCGAATGCTTCAGCCTTATCTTTTGCACTGATGTGCTGGGCTCTTCCATCGTTGAGGCTGAAGATATTTATGGAGCCTCCTCCTCCAGTGAGTTGTTTAATTGTCCATCACCATTCACGACTGGATGTGGCAGGACTGCAGAGCTTAGATCTGATCCGTTGATTGTGGGATCGCTTAGCTCTGTCTATCACTTGCTGCTTTTGCTGTTTGGCGTGCAAGTAGTCCTGTTTTGTGGCTTCACCAGGTTGATATCTCATCTTCAGGTATGCCTGGTGCTGCTCCTGGCATGCCCTCCTGCACTCTTCATTGAACCAGGGTTGATCCCCTGGCTTGATGGTAATGGTTGAGTGGGGGATATGCCAGGCCATGAGGTTACAGATTGTTACAATTCTGCTGCTGTCGATGGCCCACAGAGCCTCATGGATGCCCAATCTTGAGCTGCTAGATCTGTGCGAAGTCTGTCCCATTCAGCACAGTGATAGTGCCACACAACATGATGGAGGTTGTTCTCAATGTGAAGGCGGGACTTTGTCTTCACAAGGACTGTGCGATGGTCACTCTTGCCAATACTGTCACAGACAGATGCAACTGCAGCTCGCAGATTAGTAAGGATGAGGTCAAGTATGTTTTTCTCTCTTGCTGGTTCCCTCACCACCTGCCGCAGACCCATTCAGCAGCTATGTCCTTTAGGACCTGACCAGCTCGATCTATATTACTGCTGCTGCGCCATTCTTGGTGGTGGACATTGAAATACCCCACCCAGAATACATTTTGTGCCCTTGCTATCCTCAGTGCTTCCTCTAAGTGTTGTTCAACATTGAGGAATACTGATTCATCAGCTGAGGGAGGACGGTATGTGGTAAGCAGCAAGAGGTTTCCTTGGCCATGTTTAACTTGAAGCCATGAGACTTCATGGGGTCCAGAGTCAATGTTGAGGACTCTCAGAGCAACACCCTCCCGACTGTATACCACTGTGCCACCCCCTCTACTCGGTCTGTCCTGCCAAAGAGACAGGACATATCCAGGGACGGTGATGGTGGTGTCTGTGACATTGTCTGTAAGGTATGATTCTGTGAGTATGACTATGTCAGGCTGTTGCTTGACTAGTCTGTGAGACAGCTCTCCCAATTTTGGCACTAGCCCCCAAATGTTAGTGAGGAGGACTTTGCAGGGTCGACAGAGCTGTTTCTGCCATTGTCTTTTCCGGTGCGTAGGTCGATGCCAGGTGATCCGTCCAGTTTCATTTCTTTGAGTCTTTGTAGCAATTGGTACAACTGAATGGCTTGCTAGGTCATTTCAGAGGGCAATTGAGAGTCAACCACATTGCCGTGGGTCTGGAGTCACATGTAGGCCAGACCAGGTGAGGGTGGCAGATTTCCTCCCCGATGGACACTAGTGAACCAGATGGGTTTTTCCGACAATCGGCAATGATTTCATGGTGATCAGTAGATTCTTAATTCTAGACTTTTTTTTAAATTCCAATTTCACCATCTGCTGTGGTGGGATTCAAACCCGGGTCCCCAGAACATCAGCTGGATTTCTGGATTAATAGTCTAGCGATAATACCACAAGGCCATCGCCTACCCTGCCCTGGAGTGATTTCATTGGTTCCCAAACACTGCCTACTCAGTTATTCTATTTAATTTCATTATTTTATTTCATTCTATTTAATCCCAACACTGCGGTGAAGGCAAATTCCTTCATTTCAAAGGGGAATTGGATAAGCACCAGAAAGGAAACCATTTCTAAGACAATAGGGAAGGAAGGAGTTAGTGGGACTAGATAAATTACTCCTGCAGAGACCTGGGCTGGACTCAAAGGGCTTCTTCACTGTAATCGTTATAAGTAAAGTCTCCAAAGTCCCAGACTATAAGTGCGGCATTGTGCTTCAGTGGTTAGCACTGCTGCCTCAAAATGCCAGGGACCCAGGTTTGATTCTAGCCTTGGGTGACTGTCTGTGTGGAGTTCTCCCCGTGTGTGTGTGTGTTTCCTCCAGATGCTCTGGTTTCCTCCCACAATCCGAAAGTGTGCAAATTAGATGGATTGACCATGCTAAATGCCAGGTTACTGGAGTGGATCTGGGTGGGATGCTGTTTGGAGGATCAGTGCAGATTTGCTGGACTGAATGGCCTCTTGCTGCTCTGTAGGTATTCTGTGATTCTCTAATGGGGTTGTACTGTCATTAGACAGGGACAACCTATTGAATTTAAACTGAGGGTCACACATCTCAGGCAAAAGGTGAGTTTGACAAGGCGAAAGTTTCATGGTGACCTCAGCCAGTACAGGAATTGAACATCACTCTGCATCACAAAAACCATTCATCTAGCCACCTGTGTGGTAATTCTTTGATATTTAGATCAGTGGTTAAGACCATAAGAAAACTAGGAAAACTAGGCCGTCTGGCCCGACAAGCCATTCAACAGGATAGTAGCTAATAAAAACATTCCTCCCGTTTGCTTTCCTGCCCTTTCCCTGTAACCCTTGATTCCCCAACGGATCAAGAATCTATCTATCACAGTCTTAAATATACACAAGGGCTCTGCCCCCACACCTTGTTGATAACTTTTCGCGTATCTTTAGTAAATGTTGATTGGTAATTTGGATACATTCCTTACTATACATTTTTGATTTGTTACACTTTTTCAAGTAAGTCATTTAAAGTAACTGGAAGAAAATGCAAAACAGAAATTTATGTGAAAAGTATGACAATGGAAATTTGGCAGACAAAATGTATCGTACGCCTTTGTATGTGGCAGTGGATTTCTGTGGTGTTACAGTAAGAGGACTTTCTGTTTAATTGTACAGGTCATTATAGCATAAAATTAATTGAAACTAAAGTAAATTAAAGATAAAATTAGTTGGTTCTAAGATGAGACTTCTAGTAAACACCCTGACTTTGTCAAGGTTAATTAAGAAGGTGCACACTTTCTGGCATCTGCTATGCTCTATTCTGGAAATTTACTGTTCCAAATACGAGCTTTTCTGTGATGCTGAAACTTCCAGAAGTGTGTATTGCCTAATCGACACATGGAGTCATAGAGTTATACAGCACAGAAACAGACCCTTTGGTCCAACCAGTCCATATTGAATGTAATCCCAAACTAAGCTAGTCCTACCTGACTGTTCCTGACCCATTTCCCTCCAAACCCTTCATGTACTTATCCAAATGTCTTTTAAACGTTGTAATTGTACCCACATCCACCACTACCTCATGAAGTTCATTCCTCATGCGAACCACTCCCTCTGTGTAAAAACATTGTCCCTCATGTCTTTTTTAAATCTCTCTCCTCTCAACTTAAAAATATGTCTCCTAATCTTGAAATCTCCCATCCTAGGGAAAAGACAATTACAAATAACTAATTCTATATTTCTCATTATTTTATAAACTTCTATCAGGTCACCTCTCAATCTACTATGCTCCAGTGAAAAATATCCCAGCTTATCCAGCCGAACTTTATACCTCAAACCTTCCATACTCAGCAACATCCTGCTAAATCTCTTCTGAACCCTCTCAATATATCCTTAATAATATCCTTCCTATTACTGGACGACCAGAACTGGACACAGTATTCCGGAAGAGGCTTCACCAATGTCCTGTACAACCTCAACATGACTTTCCAACTCCTATACTCAAAGGACTGAGCAATGAAGGCAAGCGTGCCAAATGCCTTTTTAACTACCCTGTCTATATGTGATGCAAACTTCAAAGAATTATGTATCTGTACCCCTAGATCTCTCTGTTCTACAACACTACCCAAGGCCCTAACATTAATTGTATCAGTCCTACCCTTCCTTGTTGTACCAAAATGCAATACCTTACATTTATCCTAATACTTGTAGATAGATACAGGAAGGCCATCAGCAAAGATGATGAAGATTTGATATATGGTTCTAAGCTACTTGAAATTTATTTGGCTGATCACATCTATCGAGTGGATTACTAACTGATAACCCACTTTTAGTATTCATACACTGTAACCTACAATTACAACCTGTCAATATATTTCTTCTTTCTGCTTATCGACAGTAGACTTGGGTTTTGTATTGTTTTTTCACTAAATTAAATGTCTCTTCATCCACTCAGGATGCGCTTGAACTTCTTTGAACTCTTAGAGGATTGGTATGATAAAGCCATGAATAATGCCAAGAATATTGCTGTGATTAAGAAGAAAGAGTTCAAAGCGGAGTTGGAGCTGCGAAAGCACCTGCATGAGCCCAGAGAAAAACGCATTAAGATGGATGTATTCAACGTCAGAGCTGGTAAAGTACCAGTGCGGTGTCTGAAATACATACAAACTGAAAGAGTCCAGTTAGCCATTTCCATCCCCATGTCTCAATTGGTGAAAGTTTCACCTATATTTTATTGCGCATATATACATGCAAGATCCTAGATTTGATTGCAATCAGAAGTATGGTAAGGATATTGTAAGTACCAGAGTGGCTGAAGTAGGAGGAGAAAATAAGAGGCCAAGGATTTGTTTCTGTTAAATGGTCACTAATACTAGAACATCATTGTAGATGTGTGGTGAGATCTGGGTATTTCTAAGATCCCACCCACTGTCAATAACATGAAAGGCAGCCAGTATTTGTGAAAACACATACAGAAAACTTCCCTAATTGCTTGAGCCTTTCCAGGCACCCAACAAACTAGTTTTCTTAATAAAAACTGAAAGAACTGTGGATACTGTAAATTAGGAACAAAAACAGATGTTGCTGGAAAAGCTCAGCAGGTCTGGCAGCATCTGTGAAGAAAAAATCAGAGTTAACATTAACTCTGATTTTTTTTCTTCACAGGTGCTGCCAGACCTGCTGAGCTTTTCCAGCAACTTCTGTTTTTGAAACTAGTTTTCTTCTTGGAAATGATAACAGTTAATGTGCAAGTACCAACTGATGCCATACGTGCTGTTTTCTGGGTGTCCACACTCTTCTGCCATTGTTACAGCAGATGAATGAGGAAACCCCTGTTATTTATGTGGAATTTCTCCCACTTTATCCCTCTTACTTTGTCAAAATAACCATTGACCTTGCCTCACAGTGGAACTGCGCCTGCACAGGGACAGAGTCGAACGTCACTGTAGAGGAGTGGATGAAGTTTTGACAAAACTGAAAAAGGATTTTAGAGCACTTCAGTCAGAGCACTGCAAATCCATTGTGGAGTTCCGTAACAATATTCACAACTTGGAGGAGATCTTTAAAACTGCAAATAAATCTGAAAGGTGAATCATCCTTAGAAGGTGAATGTAAAGAGCTCCTCTCTTGCATAATCAATATTTGCACTGCCTGACATTATGAGGCGATGCTCTGATCTGAGTCAGGATTTTCCCTGTGGTACCCAAACAATGCTGAGGTTATGTGGGCAACAGTGGAGGGCAACAGTCTCATGGGACTAATTTCCTCCAAATTAGTCAATTATTAGCTAGATGTTTTACTTGCTGACCAATTTAGATCAGTGGGAAAGCTCTTGGAATCTATCAAGTAAAGATTTCCATTTTAATTTTTTTTCTGAACTTGCCTCAGAACCAACAAAACTGCGTTTGTTTCCAGTTTCAAGTACATCTGGCAATGAATCTCCTATGAAGGTCTTAAATGGGAAATTCTAGAATCTTAACAGAGCCACAATTTAGGAACAGCAATACATGTCCAAATCAGCATGTTGTGAGACTTGTAGGCTGACAATGTTGTTATAAAGTGGAGGTTGACCCCATCTGAGAGCTACAACCAAAACACCCAAAGTACCTCCCCTTTTAATCTGTTAAAAAGTAGTGTGAAAAGTAGTGCAACCTACATATCAGCAAGTTCTCGTGGTTAACTAAAAGAAATCCCTGACACTTACTTTAAAATCAACAAGTAACAATTTATTTATCTAACTCTAACAGAGAACAAATTAACTAAACTATTAAACTGAATAAACCCCTTCTAACTATTAACTATTCTCAAGTAAAACAAGATTCTCATGTAATGCTGTTCCAGTAAATACAAGTCCCACGAATATAAAATTTTAAAAAATAGACTTTAGTCTCTTGAAATTACAGCCAGGTTATGTCTGTTCCAGAATGTCCTGTGCCTTTTCCATCGAATGTTCTGTGAGGAATGCTTTCTGTGTGAATTCTTCTGTCGGGAATCTTAGCTAGGAGTGCTGTGGTACCGTTGTGATTAAACGGTGCTTTCTCTAAGAACTGAGAACTGTTATCTCTCGCAGATGGCAGTTCAATCTTCTGATTTTCCAACTGCCCTCTCCTTTTAAACCCTTGATGATATATCAATGTCTTATAGTAGGATTGATCCTACGTTGTCAAAACCATCAGATTTAAATTTAATTGGATTTTGGTATCGAAGTGTCTGATTCAAATTCATCGGCTAAAATCAAAACTTGTTGTCTTGATTATAAAACAAAACTGCTACTTGGCCTTCTAATCATATGGCTTTTTGATACTAATGTTTCAATTCAAGGGCTCTATGTGCATCTGCGAACCAACAAGCTGCTGCCCACAGACATCCTTTTTGAATCTCTAAGCATAGAAACGCACATCATCTTTTGAAGGGTATGTGCAGTCCTCCTCCACGCTCCCCCCGCCACCACCCCCCACCCCCGGCCATTTTACAAACACCAAATTCTAACTTCCTGCCTTCTAATGCACAAGTACTCTACCCAACTTCGCAACATTATTCCCAGGACATTCATGCTTCTGTCTTTTGCAGGCATAATGATCACAACACTTCTTCTGCTTAGTTTATTACTTCATAAGTTAAGATGAGACACTGGTGTAGTGATAATGTTGCTGAGTTACTAATCCAGAGGTACCAAGATAATGTTCTGGTGACAAAGGTTCAAATTTCATCTTGGCAGCTTCTGGAATTATAATGCAATCACTTAAGAAAACCTGGAAGTAGAAACTAGTAATGGTGACCATCAACCTGTCAAGAATTAGTACGAAATCCCTCCTGGTTCACTAGTGTCCTTTTAGGATGCAAATCTGTCATCCTTACCTGCTTTGACCTCCATGTGTCTCCAGATTGTAACAATGTGGTTGACTTTTAACAAACTTCTGAACTTATCTAGCAAGTCACTCAGTTCAAGGGCAATTAGGGATGGGCAACAAATGCTTATCTTGTTTGTGATGTCCACATCCCATCAAAGAATTTTAAAAGTATTCCTCTGTTTGCTTTATTCTAGGCTAATTAATTTACAAAATTCCCTTCACAATAAGCAGGAGAAATACATGAATTCTGTCAATAAATTATTTCGCAAATTTCAGAATATGCTGGACAAATCTCTAGGAAAATTGCAAGGTGACAATGCACAGTTTGTCACATCATTCAGGTACTGTAAAAAGTTTGAATTTGTGCTTTATTAAGGACTCCAAGCTGCAGAAGTGGCCATTTAATATTTTTAATCAGGAAAGAAGATGAAAGCTGAATACTAGGGGGCATAAGTTTAAAACGAGGGCTAACAGGGTAACAAGGTGTAGAGCTGGATGAACACAG